ATGACTTCTCCAAATGACCCAAATCTTTTTATTTGGAGCAGTTTTTATAAGTCTTCAAAGAGATAATAATCGCTGGGGGACAGATCTGGAGAGTACGGTAAGTGCGGAGCACTTCAGTTCATGTAATTTTGCCTGCGTAATTATCGACTTGGGACACAAGGCACCGCCTTGAAGAAAAAAACAGTTTTAAACTCTCCATTTGGGGCTTTTTTATGTAATTTCCTTCCTCAAAATTGAACCAATGGCGTTATATAATATTCGCTATTTTTGTTTTTCCTTTTTCTAGGTAGCTGGTGAACATTATACTAGGCGCTTGGGGACCACAAACTTTTCAGAAGACTGTTTGCACCTTTGGTTTTTTTTTGAAGACTTCGCCCTTTGCTTTCCACTCAGGTGACCGCCGATTAGACTCTGAAGAGTAATGATAGATCTAGGTTACATCTTGTTTTTAAAAGTACTTTTTACTGTTTGAAAAGCTTAAAACATCATCCAAAATCATCGACACCTTGACGTTTTTCAGAAGTTTTTCATGCCAGATGTCTATACAAAATATAGTTGACACGCTTCAATAACTTTTTTTCGATATCACTAACTCAGTAGACTTTACTTTACAATCATCAACGACAATTTTGTGAAATTTTTGTTGTTTCCCGAAGTAAATACCGCATCCGGGCCTCTAGAGAGTTTAGCATCAGTGTTGGTACAGCCCCGTTTAAAATCGCAAACCTCCGACAAATCTTTATTTTCGACGTAGTAGATTCCATATAACACTTTTTAAAGAAATTGCTGCTCTTGAATGATAATTTTTTCATCAGTAAACAATGCTTAATTAATACTCGAAATACTTTTTTTATCGTGATTTTGTAATCAACAGAGGTCAAGTCACTAAAATTTTAAATTATTATAACTAATTGACCAAATGTCATTAAATTTTGACACCTATCATTTTAAAGGTTTGTACTAACTGAGGATGATATAAATCCTTCTTAAAAGAAGGCATCTGGGGATTAGCCCCGGGATTTTTCAGGCGACTTTTAGCTTCTCGTCATCAACTGTTGTATTATATAAAGTTAATTGTTCATTCTTATAAAATACAGTTTTTGAGAGACTCTAAGCATAACTTTTCACCGTTTTCTTGTTTTTCTTGGTACTCACAAAAGCTCAGGTTAGGTTAGGTTAGGTTGCACAGATGCTGCCACGGTCCAATAAGATTAATACTTAGAAAAGATAGCAAAGTTTTTAAATTTCATTACTGCGCCACTTAACAGTGGACGTCAAAGCTCGTGAAGCCTTCCCGGAGTTTCAGCTTAGATATTGGAAAGCCATTTACAAATTAACAGCCCCTTCTTCTATCAGAATGTGACCAGCTCATTCAAAATTTTTAGGAAACCATAGCGTACGTTTTTCTTAGTGTCGAGAACACGTTTAACCAAGTTTGGCAAGCAGCTTCGCACAGCCGACTACCCTCTATAACCGCCCCACAGAAAATTCTATTCTTAACTACCCTTGCGTTTTTTTGTGCACGCCGTGCCTTTCCTTGTCAGTTTCTAAGTCGTCCATCCTGCTCTGCCAGCATTTACGATGCTACCTAGTTGCGATTCATCATAGTGAGGAGCAAAGCTCACTGCAGCCCCAGGCTCTAAGATCAACAGAGGGAGGTTATGGCGGCTGGAAAGCAAGCTGTTGTTGCGCAACCAGTGGTACATGTGCACTCACCTCTCGCCAGCTTCGGTGTTTTCGCTTTTGGTGTAACAAGCCAACTGCTCCTCATCATGAGAAGCGCATATGATTAGTGCGAAACGTCGCTCTACTTTGCGGAGCTGGAATCGGTGCATAGTTACCGTCTACTAGCAAGTGAAAATTTACTTTAGATGATCGCTACCGTAGTTTGCAAAAACTCGCGGTAAGAGGTTTAAAATTCCAGGGATAAGGTTATAATTTTTTTTGGCGCGGTTTGTGTTAAACTTCTGGTCTCGCTCGAGCACCGCGCCTAACTATAGAGGCGTATAATAGATTGTCTGCTTCCCGACCGGAACTGACTTGCGTTTAATAAAAGTAGATAAAAAATAGGTAAAGATGTATTTACATTTTGCATATCTATGATGGTACTTTACAATATCCCTCTTCAGTAGTAACACAACATTTATAATAATGCCCGATAAAATAGAGACCAGATTATTTTTTTTTGTAAATTAGAAAAAAGGTTTTACAATAGAATTTTAATAGAGTAAACTTATATAATAAAAAGTGCGGAATGCCTTTAATTACTTATAAAATATATTTAAAAAAAAAACTGTATGAAGTTTAACACAAAATTTAAATCTAATTAATTAATATTTAGTATAAGCGTAGTTTCTGTCCAACGTAATTTATAGTAATTAATAATAATAAAAAGTGCTTTTTTTATTATTTTTGTAAGTAATTATTAATAAAAAATATTCATAAGAATTTTTTAAGTTTACGATCTTTTTAAGTTTGAAAATTACAATAAAATAACCAAGATTTCATAGTAAATATTTAAATCCGAAGTGATTAAAACTCAGAACGACCGTAAATTTGCAAAACAAACTTTTAAAGATTCGCAGATTTCTAACAAGTAATTTTTTAATTACTACTGACTTTCACATATACGCCACATACCTCAACGTTTAGCATCAAAAAATTTACGTGGTCCTCACAGATCTACTTATTATTATTATTAGTATCACTATTACTAGTACTATTACTATCATCACTATTTTATCACATTTATTATTTTCTGTATTATTATAACTGCTTCTTTCACAAACGCAATTCCGCCGCAAGGGTAAAGCGTGAAGAGTACTACACAAGGCCAACCACGATTTCACAATGGTGCACGCGGTAAAGATCTATTCTGGAAGTTCTTCTTCGCTGTTAATAATACTAATAATCTCCTAATTTAATAATTAAAAAATATAATAAAAAAGCACTCAAAAAATTATTTTTTTAATAAAAAATAGAAAAAGCGAAACAATAGAGGCAAGTATTAAAAATAAAGCAACTCAATAAAGTTTTTGTATGAAACTTAATAATAATAAAAATTAAGTAAATAGTTATATACATAATAATAAATTAACAAAAAAAAGCAACGCACACACCAAACGCCCTCCAGCAAGTAAATCAAGTCGATGGTAAGTCCGCTGGAGAACTGCAAGCAACGACTGCACATGAAATTTACAAAACTGAAACTTCTCGTGTCGCACTCGACTTCGTACCGGTTCCGATTCGCTCGAAACACGTGACTAACCCGCTTGGCGAGAAGACCTGTTTTTTAAATTAAAGGCGACCAAAAAAATTATAAAGCGCAGTTAAGTGAAGTACGGGTGCCAATTAAATTGTCAACAAAATAAAATAAATCAAAAAAAAAAAAGAAAAATAAATCAAAACAACATATATTATAAATCATATAAAAACGAGAAAAAGAATAAAATAAAAATATAAATTTTACATTTAAATAAATATATTTTACTTAAGAATTAGTAAAAAAAGTTTACTTTCTACTTAAGTTGTCTATTTTGAAAATTATTACTTTTAATTAAAATTGTTCAATTTTTATATAGAATTCATAATTAGAGCTTAAAGTAATTTAATAGTTAGAAGTTTTTAGGAATAGTAACGTTGAAATCGAATAAATATACATGAATTGAAGTAGAAGCTATAATATAAAAGTAAAAGCTATTGAAGGTAGAGGCTAACTAATAAAAACTTTTAAAAATTACCTTTCTAGTTTTCTGACTTCTTAAAGTTTTAATCTCAATCCATTCAAAATATCTTTTTTAAATAACTTAAGTACGTAAAGAGCTTTCAACCAAGCAATAGAAATAAAGGCCCTATTCAACCGCTAAAACTCTAGGTCGATAGAACTAAAAATAATCCAATTACTTTTGAAAATAATTGCAATATAAATGAACATTGTTTTAGTTCTAAAATAAAATCCGGGGATATTAAAGCAAAGAAGGCTCTTCTGTTATTTAAAAACCTATTACCCTTAGTAAATTTATCACCCTTGATTTTAAGCGCAACAGAAAGTTGCAGGCTTTCAAAGAAAAATTTCTTTTAGGTATTACATGCTATGTAAAAATGTATTTTTTTAAGTTCTCAATCATTATTTAATAAGGTAAATTGCAAATAAAATCCAAGTTAAATACGCGATCGTTAGTTAACTATAATAAAAACTCGTAGGGGCAGGCAACTTAAAACTTAAATTGTTTTTATTTAACGTTTATAAAGTAAAAAATAACCTTTAAGCACAATTGAATTATATAGATAATTATTTATTAAATACCGTATGCAGAAACAATTGTAACTATACAGTTTAATAATAAGGTTTACTTTTCGCAGGAAAATTGAGAGGCAACCTTTTTCGAAGATATGAAGAATTCATAAACCAGTAGTTCACTATTTCTGTTAACACTGACCCATATAACAAACTATATTAATACATTAAAATAACAATATTACCACAGAAGATTTTCTATATGGCCGGTAAAACAAGTATTGAAACTAGAGTTAAAATTTAATTAACTCCTAAAACTCTTTTAATTGCTCGAAATGTCAATCATTTGTTTTATTTGCCAGAAGTTTTTTAAGTGATGGCGGGTAGTAATGAAGTTGTATAGAGAAAGGATTTTTCTTTTTATTACACTATTCGTGTCTTATCAAGTTATTATTTATAAAAAGGCAAAATAACATTGCGCTTATCCTTACTAAAAAGGAGTATTATGTGTAGAATACGTAATTATGTTGGACTTATGACTTAAGGTGCTCTTATAATATAAAATTAAAGAGTACAACAGTAACATAACCCTTTATGTTTACACATAGGGACGTAAATCATACACATTTCTTCCAAAATTAGTCAAAATGTATGGGACAAGACGTTTAAAATCTACCTTAATAATAACCTGCTATTAAAAGAATGTCGACTAAAACAAAATTGAAAAAAAGAAGCTCAATAAAAAAATTGAAGACTTTGCATATAACACTTATATATCAGTTTATTGGAAATGAAAAATGAAGTTATATGGAATCACTGGGCACAGGTTCAATAAACTTACCTACAAATTATTATAACTAAATAATCAGAAAAAATAAATAAATTGTAACCTGGACGTGAAACCTTCTTACCCTTTAAAATAGATGTAGTTTCTCCGTGCAAATCAAAAAATCTCCCCGCATCATATTTTGGTTTCTTTAAAACTTTAACTTTTCTTATATAAACGTCTTTTAGAGGATAAATCCCTTGCGCCAGCTTGGTTATATCGCCACAAATATCACCAGTAATTAACTTATTCCATAGTTCCTTAAAATCGGTGATAGTAGCCTCTTTAGCCATTTGCTCCATCATAATCTTCCGAATAGCCCGAACTTGAGAGGTTTGAGCGTAAGAAGTCTTTTTTTGCTGATCCTTAGCCTTCTTGGTGAACCCAATGCAAAACATCCTCAGATAATAGTTGTCGGTAGTCTTTACATCAACGTGGGCTTCTATCAAAGTCTGCCACTTTTTAACGAGTGAGCGAAGCTTGTCAGTAGTTAAGTTCATTCCATGATAGTTAAGAAGACAAGTACTTCCTTGAACTTCCTCGCAGATCAGCTTAATTTTTCTGTAAGATAAGTCCTCATTATTCTGTAAGTCTGCAAGACAAACTTCGTAAACACGTCCTTTAAGATCATCCGAGGCAATGCCTTCCAATAAGTATATTATATTAAAAAAAAAAAAAAAAAACAATAAACAGAATACGTTTTCCTTGAGATTTTGTTACAAGTGTTTTACCCACAAATCTGTTAGAAAAAAGAGTGGGCGCCTTGATATTATACCACTCTTTGTGGAGAAACGGATCGAACCTAGATATGTGTAAAATTTTACTCATTATTATAAAGATTGTAAAAAAGCTATACAAATTTAAGAGGTAAAGTAAAAAAAAAGATCAAAAATCTTAGAATTTGAGGAGTTAATACAATTCTGAATAAAGTAAAATTAAAAATAGTGTAGATAATAGGGGAAATAAGGTAAAAAAGTTAAATAATCGCATTACGTCTTTTTTCCTTTTCCCTTTTTCCCTAACTTTTTATTTTTACCAACGACCATAACGCAGAAGGAGAAGAAAAGACTTAAAGCAGCTCAAACCTTAAAACTCTTTTTTGAAGCATACCCTTATACCTAATGAAACACACATGTTAAGTACTAAACCCCCATGTTGCTTAATTCTCATATTAGTGCCCCTCTAAACTAACTTTTCAAAGAGGGAGTTAATATAATATAAGCCTTTTGTGTGAATAACATCCATAACTGTTGTCCATATGGAGCTTATATGTGAGAAACAAAAACTTAGATAAGATAAGGAAAAAAATTTAAATTACAAAATAAAGGGAATTTTTTTTTTAAATGTATTCACGAGGGCAAAATGTTCTTTTTTTATTTTAGGGTTTTCTAGTGGTAGGAGTAGTGCCCTCAGGAGATTTTTACTTATAATATAAACTTTTACCTTTCTTGAATTTAAAATCATATAGCCTAAACATCTTCTATACCATATTAAATTATTTTTTATTATTATAAATCAGTTTTCCTGACTTAAGACCTGTAACAGCCAGCAGATTAGGTACGTAAAGCCAATCATGCCGTGTCTACTTTAGGTTATGGGAGCTATTCTCTTTTTTGGGTTTCCAATGGCTGCATATGTAACCTGTTAAAATTAACATTTGAGAAAACTGTCGACTAAGTTTAAAATATAGGTTTGCTGCCTCTACAACATGCTAAAGTCATACTCGCCTCTGCGATCGCTGACAGTAGGAATTTCTCCTCTCGCCTCCACTATTCGGGACCCCATGTGGGCAACGTGCCCTTGCCAGTCAAACCTTAAATGCCTGTCGCCATATACGCTGATGCTACAACGAGTTACTCGTCGTCGAAGTCGCCAGAGCTACCGTGCTAAAATTCTGCTGCGCTATCCTGACTCCTTAACAACGGCTGCCGTATATGGTAAGTTGCTATAAATTTGACGGAGGGGGGGGAGACCCGTGCCATGGTTGGCACCCTTTACCTTCTGTATCAACGAATAGAAAACCGCTACCACGCCACCTCCACCACTTATTCACGGTGTAATAGTGGTTGAAAGCGAAGAGGATAAGTCGACGCTCTCTGCCGGCCACCTACAGCTCGATGCGTACCTCTAACTTGAGCTACCTATTTGGGGTGAAGGCGAGACCGCAAAACCCTTCAATCGTTGGCGACGGACTTTTCAAATCGAGCACAGCTGATGAAATCTACCTGCACTTACGCATCAGAAAGCAATTGACCTCGATGGCATAACTTATGAAATTTGAGAAAGTGCCGTCTATCACGATCATTCACCTTTTCTGTTTTGCAATTTCTGCAATGTGGCGACAGTGGTGCTACTACCCAAGACTAAATAAAAACACATACAAGTAAATAAAATTACCACACAGAAATAATAATCTAAAGGTAAATCATTTATTAACATAATAAACTTAACAAACTCAACCATTTTGGAAGGGGTTATGTTAATAAATTATTATTAAGACAAAATGGTAACTGTCAACTTTAACATATCTTTTAAAAGGAACCGAATTAAATGTTTACTCAAAGAATTTTGAATTTAATCTTAACAAACTTAAAAAAATAAAAAATGCTTTTTTAACCTATTGTAAGGGTATATATAAATGGCTTGATTACCTATAATAAAATAATTTCCGTTCCACTTGTTCTCACCCTCCCCGTCGTTGGAATTATAAAACTCTGCATGCTTACTAGGTCCTCGCAACTATCGTCCCATTAGCCTAAGTTCAGCAGTGGGCAAAACTGTGTAGGATGTTTTACTCTGCCGATCGAAAGGGTTTGTAGAAACAAGCGAAGCGCTTCCGAAATGTCAATCTGGATTTTGAAAAAGGAATTCGACGACACAAAAATTTTGACTTTGTTGATTAGACAACTTGAATCTCAACTTTGGAAAAGCCTTTGACCGCGTATAGCACAGCTTCCTATAAAACTACACGCAGGGTACTCTGAAAGCTTTTATCCTCGTTTCCATGTGAGCGCACCCTTCCGTTAAGAGTTGACTTCCTACTAATATCTAATGTTCTGTAAGTCTCTTTGCCCTCCCCCCTGTCCCTCGCACTCCACATGCAAAAAATTCCTTCCCCTGAACCCCCACACCTACGACGCACTTTACGCGTCCTCAAAGAGTCCCTCTTTGTTACGGCAACACACCTATAACGTTATTTGGAAACACTTGCCAACTGATGTCGGCAGTGGGAAGAAACCTTTATTGTAGAGGAAAACTTAGCAATTCTCATTTTAAGATGCACTGCGCTTCCCTCGAGAGTATGAAGAGCCTATGAGGTTCTCAGGCCAAATAACGCGACTAACTTGGCGGCAACGCAGCTAAGATCAAAGCTGCAAACCACGCAATCTACCCGCTGCTGTATGCAAAAAGAATAATGTATCTGCGCAATAAACTTCGCCTCGTAAAGTGTGCATGCGTCTTCTAATGGTCTCTACGCATCTGTTGCTTGACCGTACAATAAATCGTCGACCATTATACTTTTGAGGATGCAACAAAATAAGCTCCTGCGACTAATGACAGTAAGTAATGACAAATTGCACGAACACGTGAAGCTGGGAAAACTGCGAGCTCTGCTTAAAGAATAAAATGAATAGGCAAAATTAAGAGAAAGAAGTGAAACTCACAACCTTTGGTTGTGAGGCAGCCAGAATATGTTGGGATATTATCTGCGAAGAATAAAGAAGATATTAACCATCTTATAATCCGCTAGACTAAGCAACACAACAAACTTATTAGCAGAGTCATACCTACTGCTCTCATCGAGAAAGTACGCAACGATAAAAGAAGCGAATTTGTAAACAGTAGGCTATGCTAGGATCTTCAACAATAGGGTTTACGACTATCCACATTGCCGAAGGATCCACCTTAGTATATATTGTTGGGGTTAACTTTGATAGATCACGTAATCATTCCACGTGGTACATATAACATGTGCTTACTAGACCACCTCCGTACCACGTTTTTATCATGTGATAGCGCGTGTTTCTACGTCTATCACATAATTTGTACATTTTGTATTCCTTCCCCTCAAGGTATAAATATTCATACTCTATGAGATGAAAAACTGATCACCCCTCCTCTTTTTTTCCGTCATATTTTAAGCAAAAAAAGTATTCTATACAACGTGCTGTTTTTTAAAACAATCTGAACTACCTTTTAAATACTGGGGGAGAGTTTTACGTGACGCAGTGTTCATTACTAACAATGCACCTAAGAAGAAAGATTATTCGCCAATAAACTGTTTGCTTTAAAATCTGCGGAAAATAACCCTCAGTAGTCTCAGGGGGTCCCACAGATCTGAAATTATTTTGTTGTTTAAATTTGTAAATTAGATTGAAGTTAAAGTTAGTGTGACCTGTATCCTAATATCTCAATAAACAAGTGATCAACAATTTACGGTATATTTTTATTTAATATAAAAGTAAAAAATTTGAAACTCAAGGGGTCCGAGAGGGCCTACTGCGACCACTAATGTCTAAATAAGAGGTGCGACTACTAGATAATTAAGTCTGTGAAACCACCTAAAGTTCTTAGGGACTATGAATTTTGAAATCTTAACATATAAACCGGTAAACGATTTCGATCTAGATATGTCAAATATATTCCCTTACGTTCCTATTTAACTGCCAAAAGGCGACACATACGTACAACACAATGCTGCTGCCATCTTGCCTTTACCCCACCTGAAAGAAATATAGATTAGAATGAAAAAATAACGCTTAAAGAAGTATTAATAGCGAAGTTATCACAGTTCGGTTCCATACACCTGAAGTTTAAGCAAACCCTCTCAATTAATAGAGTATTGTAAGGATTCTCAGCTGATTACAACACGTGATCCAACTCTACTCGAAAGAATCTAACAAAATAACAAGGTAAAGAATGAAAGAAAATAAAAAACGAGGTCTAATTGTTTATTGAGCTTACATTCCTATTTATAGGCATTTAATTGTATAGAAAAAAATTAAAACTGTGAGCAACTGATCAATTTTCGGCTAATAATTTATACAAATTAAAAAAATCAGGACCTATGGAAACGGCACCCTATGACATACCCGATGCGCTAAAATAATATTATCGGTACGGGATACCATCGAACTAACAGTAAAAGGGCATAAGCAAAGGGCAGAAAAAATCTGATGTCGAACTGTACCAAAAAAACTGGTCATTTAAGCCATAAAACAAAGATAAGCTACAAACAAAATACTAACATAAAAAGAATAAGACCTTAAATAGACTAATACAAGAATTTACCGATAATTTTTTTAAAAATTAAATACCACTAACTTTTACTGGAGCGATGATCTCCACAGAGAATTAGATAGAAATTTGCAGCATTTGATGAACCAGCTCATAATGAATCATGGCGGTTTTGAGGTAATTAAAATGGCTGACAAACTCTTTAATGAAAAGGTTAACCCTCATATAGAAGGTTCGTATTAAAACAAATAATGCGTTAGATACAGCCAAGGGAGTATTAATAAACCCCTAAAGTGTATAATCAAGAAACGTCTCTCCTGTCCCTAATATATTAATTTTTTTTTTTTGTCTTTACCTGCAATATCCAATATCCGTAATATTCCTATATACTTAGCAGATATAACTACTGCATTCTTTCACAAAGTTACAAAAGCCCGTCTATGTTCATTTCTACAAGTATTACACCTAGTCATGCACATGGCATCCTAACTAAAGAGGCTTACTGGAGGGTCACTACCATAATAAATAGTACCTTGAAAATAAATGTAGCTTTTACGATTTAAAGAATCTCAGGACTTATTTATAAAATTTTTTTATCCAGGTGGAATAGGTGCGGATATATTTAGAGCAAAAATAGATGAGTGCGTTTCTACCTCAACAAATTTCGGTGCTAATGTTAATATACATGTAGACGACTGTATTATACCCAGGGATTATAATATCTTTCTTAAAAATATAAAAGCAGAATATTTTATATAAGAAAGCACCGAACTTGTAAAAATCTTAGGAATTAAGATTAACATAACTATAGATGTGATCAAATCTTAAATCAAACCGAACTTATGGAGCAACATACATCTAAGTTTTACATTGACCAACAAAAAAACCAAAAGTGACAATTTATACCAGCACTAAACCGAATTCCTTTTAAGAGGCGCTGTAAATCCTACGTACTATATAAAAAAATACACTTTATAGATTGGATACAAACTAAGCAAAGTGAAATTTTATAAAAACTAGTCTGGTTCAAGTAAATTTATTATACAAAAAGCATTTTCCTTCCTTGTTTAAAAAGAAATTACATATTTATTTTATATGCTACTTTGTTCTCACTTAATCATACGCGTTATAACACATATAATTAACTTATATTAATATACTTTTTCAAATACATTTTCTTTAAAATTTCATATACTGCAGCCTAATTGAGTCTTTACGAAACAATGCTGACAGCACACGGCAAGATCATTTCTGCACTAAGCGAAAAACAGATGAATTATGCAATTAGAATATAACACTATACTACACCAAAAGCTCTCATTAACTTCAAACCCAACTCTCACAATATACAAAGAATAACACAAGAACACAAGGTAGACAACACCTAAGACATAATTTAAAACATAAGTTTCAAAAACACAACAAATGAAAACACAAAACCAATAGAAAAACAAAATAAACATAGATTACAAATAATACATTAAGTATAAAGTATACACAACTATATAACACATGTACAAACATAAGCACGAAACACTAACCCTTAAATTTTTACAGGGAAAATGATCCGTGATTAATCAAATCAGAAACTGAGAAACAACTAATAAAAACACGAGAAAATAATATTTCAAAATTTAATTCAACCTACCTTGTAAATTGGCTACAAACTAAACACAGTAAAATTTTATCTGGTTCAATTAAATTTACCGTTCGTATATGGAAGCATATTTCGATCTTTTGTAAAGTATAAATACATACCGAAACTGGTCAATAAATTATCCCTTGCCTTCATATACTTTTTTATATGCACTTATACAAATGTTGAGAGAGAAAATTATTGATTTGCCTCTTGGGTTGAAAGTTACGATTTCTGAGACCCTATGGGCTATATCATACCTGTTAGTCGCAGCCCTATCTTAACAAAACCAAAATAAACAGTTAACCTTGAACCTAAATCCATAACCGTCAGTAGAGCTCTATAAAATACCTTTGTAATACAAAGTATTAACTAACGAACTCCTTAACTCTGATCTTCAAATAAAAAGTTTTACTGAAAAAAGCGGTGCTATAATCAAGCGTCTAAGGCATATTAATATCGCCTAGCTCTATGTTAAAGACGAATGAAAAAGAAAATTTTTTTTGAATGAACATTTTTATTTCAGCAGTATCCTTAGCTGACATGTTTACAAGTCATTGCCGATACAGAAACACATAATTTTACTTACAACCTCTTTACATAATTAATTAAGATGCAGTTATAAGTGTACGGTACATTTTTAATCCTCAGGATGACAAGAACGTTCTGGAATAGTAGGAAACAAATATATAATAACAACATTTGCTATTCCCGCCCCCCACCCCCGAAAAGTGGACGCCCGCCCAAGGGGGCAAGCAAAGTCATTTAGTAAGGCCTCGAGTAATAACACGTTTTAATTAAATTGACTCTACTTATTACAGATAAATGCGCATCCAATTAAAAAAGTTGAATTGAACATAGCACGTGAAAACCAATGACATCAGTTATAAACGTTTATATAAATGTGCGCACAGGCATCGTACCAAAACCATAGAATAGTGTACTCGCAGGGTGGGTTTAATTTTTTCCGGTGTAGTGCGAAACGCGAATTGATTTAAAAGTAGTGCTTTGTTCCTACCTCTCTTTTTGTAATATATATTAAGGCGCTTTAGTTTAATTATAAGAATTACGCGATGTGGGGCCTCAGATCAGCTCATAAATAAAATTAGCCATTTTTTATTTTACCTTTTCCTTGACCTTTTTTTGTTAATATCTCGTTGACTCTGGCTCGAAAGAAGGCCAGTGAAATATTTATTAAGACTGGGTTGATAACTTTGGGCTTAAATCTGTCCGAAGCGTTATTCTGTTTTAAGTTTTGTTATACAATAAATAAGGAAATATATTTTTTTGTTTAAATCTACTCCCTATCTTTCTTTGCCTTCGAAGTATACCCATTAAATGTTTCCTGTTAGCTTTAATTAAATATTTAGTACTGTCAACGTTTGACAAAGAGGAAGTGGTTTATAAAGACAAACCGTTCCAAGCAAAGTAGATATCACCAAAAAAGAACATGTTTATATTTAATATTTATAAATTAATTGAAATTTTGAATTTAATTTTACAACTGTGCAGCCATATGAATTTTTATTAAAAAATTTAATAATTTTAGTTAAGAAATTATAAATTGTGGATCATACTTAAAAACTTTCATTGATCTAAATATTAGTAAAAGTTGTATCCCTAAGTTGTTTTAAACTTGTAACTTTTAGTGCTATATTTGTGCCGTTAAACTATATAAAATATGAATCAGTCTACATGAAAGTTAATACGTGGAAGAAGCCTAAATTGAAGTTTGTCGGGGAAACCAATATAAAAAATAATTGACAGATGAAAAGGTTTCAATAACACTTTGAAAAAGAAACAGGAGAGAGCTTTCCCTTGAATAAAAAAGGGCTATTGTCATTTATGACCAATTCAAAGTAAAAAAAATACTTGTCAACCAGTACAAGATCTTTTTAGCAAAAATTCGCTCGAACTTAATTTTTTTTAAAAAAAATTTTCCTTATTTGTCTGCCTATAACTTTAAACTTTTAAAAAGTTAATAAGTACTTTATATAAAGTACTTACCAAACTACTGTTGCAAGTGTTCATACTTCAAACGCTAAAATTTAAATAGCCCCGTTCCTAACTCCTTCAAACTTTAAAAAGTTAAACCGTGTTAAACAGTTCTTCGAAGAAAAATAACCTTTCACTCCAATCGTGCACGTGTATAGCAAAATTTCTAAATAATCTTAAAACACATCCGGGATGATAAAGTTTAAAGCAATAATAATTAATCTTTATTAAAACAATGCTTTCTTTTACACAATGGATAGTTACTAAAATGATAACTAAATTGTTTTAACGCTTATTAGTATAAGCATAACCTGCTAACGGGGGTAAGAAATTGGTAAAACATCCCTCATATTTAACGAGCTAAATAAAAGCATTGTGGGCGTTAACAGCTCTATATACAAGTTTTTAACGGAGCAATGAGACAAGGTTACCAAGAAAAATTAAAAGTCAATATAGAACGATATTAAAAAAAATTATTCCCCTGTACATTAAAATGTCTAAGCATCATTTCACTTATATAATATTAAACTAGGTCTTGTACACAATAGAATTTATACATTGGTTGGGAGAAGTAATAATACCTACCGCTGTAAAAAGCGTAGACTTAGCTAAAAACATCAAACTAGTATTACCTAGAAAACATATCCTTACATGTAATAATGGGACTGCTTCCCCCTTATATAAAGGTATTTTTTTCCTTGTTTAAAGTTTATTTTAATAACTTGGTTATGTCGGTATAACTAAGAACGGTACAAAAACTGATGGCAAATTAATAAATAAATGAAAAAATTTCGTTATAACTTTAAAAATAAAAATAAGGTATATATAATGTTTTTATTGCTCATAGTAGAAGCCTATAGATTAACAGACCACTAAGGAATACCCAAGACCCTAGCAAGTTAAGAGAAACTTCTTTATGCACCTTAAATTCTAAAGCAATTCGCCGACTATTATTATAACAAGTTAACGTAATTTTGGCATGCATTAATTAATATTATACCGTTCATTGGCATTTCGTCAATTTGCGTACTATAATACTGTTCTATATCCCTAAGCGTATGTATGTCCTCAGTGGTGACAAAATTGATGGCTACACCTTTACGGCCAAAGCGCCCAGATCGACCAATTCTAATAAGTTATAGCAATAATTAACGGTGACAGCTAATACTCGTAATAAGGATACCTGTGAATATACAACTCTCGATTCATAGGCAAATCATAGTTGATAACTAGGGAAACCTGATGAACGTCAATACCACGTGCCCAAACATCCGTGGTGATTAAAACACGACTGGGTTTTAACTTTAAACTTCAAAATAAAATAAAGTAAAACAAAAAAAGGACCTCGCTCCAGAACGAAAGTCCTTCATAATAGCATCCCGCTCCTTTTGTTCCATTTCTCCGTGCATAGACGTGACAGTAAAGTTAGCCTCGCGCATCTTTTCAGCCAAATGGTCAACTTTCCTCTTCGTATTACAGAATATAACCGCCTGCGTTATGACAAGTGTATCGTATAGATCACAGAGGGTATCAAATTTCCATTCTTCTCGTTCAACGGAAACAAAAAACTGTTTAATCCCCTCTATAAGATAAATATTAGTTTGTAATATAAATGCTATAAATAATTCTATTTTTAAAATGCTTTGACATGCCAACAAAAAAACAAGTTTGTACTCAACTACAAATAAAATTCTTCTATAGACTATCAGGTAATAGCGCACGAAAATAAACTTTCCTAACTTGAAATGGCAAACGAAACTTTTGGTCTAAAAAGCGCAAAGGGCGCATAAATATAGTCCATATCAGAGTTTATATCCTTTCGAATAATTAGCTTTTAAGTAGTCCTATAAAAATTAGCTAGCTCTTCTCAAAATTAAGAAAGCTAAATTATCTTTAAAAATTAATATTTTTTAATAGAATACATCTATAAAAGAATAAAATTTATATTATTGCAACTAATTAAAATTTGGGTTTAACAAAGGATAATAACACCTTTTTAATTATTAAAATAAAAAATACCGTTAATTAGTGTAAATAAAAGCAATAGTAGATCTGATGGGAAAATATAAATATAACTAAAGTTAGGATTTACTATGAATGACAGTGAAATGATAAAAAAGCAAAAGTAAGTGTGGAAATTATTAAAAAGAATAGGGTAAGGTACATTGACCAAAAAATTTAGTTATTTTTAAGTAAATAATAGTAACCCAAAGTAAGTTCGTCACGTTTTACTAAGATACGCACGGGATGAGTCATAAATTTTTGAGTTAATTCAAGCGTCTCGTGCGGCAAAGTAGCAGAAAACACGCACACTTGAGTTGCAGGAGGCAAATACCGATAGACGTCATAAATTTGTTCTTGAAAACTAGAAAAGAGCAGTGATAAAAAGTTATTATTTATAAAATTTCAGAGTGCTAACGTAATTAACACTTTTACTAAAGCTAATATAAGTAAAGTATTTCATTGTTTTACATATATTACAAATTTAATAAGACTATAACTAAAATTTTATCATATACTAATAATAGCTAAATCTAATTCCTAAAAAAAACAGCAAAGATATATATATCAAATGAAGAACCCTCTATTAAGCATCTCGTCTGCTTCATCCAAGATCAACAGCTTTACCCCCCTTGTAACTAAAAATCTTCGAGTTATCATATCATATACACGGCCAGGGGTCCCTATAATGAAGAATAAATAATATTTAATAAAACAACGTAGAAGTTATAATGAAGGCATAGAGGTTGATATAACAAAAAGTTTCTAAACAAAGGATCATAAGCTCTTAATTAAATAGTTTACCTGAAACAATATGCTGGCCAAACTGAAGTTTCCGAATGTCTTCTCCAACACTAACACCTCCTATGCAGGCATGGCATTGAACATTCATATAATCTCCAAGAGCGAGAATAACCTGAAGTTTGCATAAGGATGATAGATTCAAAGACAAATATTGCTTATAATATTCTAAAAAAAAACCATTTGAATTTGTTGTGCTAATTCTCTGGTTGGAGAAAGAATCAGGACTTGAGGCTCACGAATAGAAGTATCAATAGTTTCCAAAGCGCAAATGGAAATAGTGGCTGTCTTTCCTGTTCCTGATTGCGCTCTGAATTAAATAAGCGTATACTAAATAAACTTAGTATAAAAGGTTAATATCTTACTGTGCTATGACATCCTCACCAGAAAGAACAGGGACAATAGCCCTCTGTTGAATAGCAGAAGGTTTCTCAAATCCTTTACGGTTAGTAAGTAGGATATAACAAATAGATCTGCTCTAATGGGATAAATATATATTTGGCACCATATGCGTATATTCCTCGAAGTAAATCCTCTTTTAAATTTAAGCCATCAAAAGTTGGTATAACTTTAACGCCTTCACTTGTTTCAAAAACCGTTTTACTGTCTGGATAATAGGGATGTCTCCCGTTACTGGAACTCTGGCGCCTACTGCTCATGATAAAACGAAACTAACGCTCAAACGCCCAAGCACAACCTAAATGAAAAAATGTGATCAGCTTAGGTGAAGAATCAACCCCAAATTTAGTTGCGTGCATTTATTAAAAATAATGCCATGCTTTTTTTCATAATGTGCCAAATTAAGTAAAATAGTCCTACTATTAAAAAGGACCCAAATTTTCTTCTTTGTGCATGTGAAATTAGTAAAAGTATCAGAAGAAAGACTAAAAAATATCAAATTTTAAGAACTTTATACTCTTAAGTTATTTGAAAGAATCTAATATATACAGGTAAATGTGTAAAATTAATTTATGGACAAAAATATTATTCTATTAGCAATCCACCCTCTAACAATTTTAATGACATGTGTATTTCACAAAAAGGTATAAAAAATTCACATCACTTAAGATTACAAGCTTGAGTTTACTTAAAATCATAAAAACGTTGACAGCCTTTTTGTTTATTCATTAAAAGAGAAAATCTCTTGGTTGTTTTAAGGGAAGTCGCACTGGTGATAGACATGTGAATTGGTAAAAAGCACCCTTTTACTATAGCATGCTCGCATGGCGGCAAATATAACTTACCCTCTTTGTGCTTCCTCGGAGATTTTTTTAAAAACTGATCGTGCTTCCCGTTTGGCTTGTTGCCCGGTCTTTTTTCCTTATCATAATACAAAAAGGATAAATAAGAATACTTCTCTGTATTTTTGTAAAAATGGGTAACCAACATTTTTTCTTCACCCTTATTTTTTATATTACTTTTTTTCTACTATTAATGAGTACATAACCTTTTTTATCCCAAGTTATATTATAAATACTTTAGATTCGGAAAGTGTGATATTATTGTAGAACTTTATTTTATAAAAACTATTCTAACCTTTTTATTTCATTTGGATAGTGAAATTCACGGTAGACGAGGTCCGCAGTATCATGGATCGCACGAAAAATATCCGTAACATGTCGGTTATCGCTCATGTCGATCACGGAAAGTCCACTTTAACCGATTCTCTGGTTGCTAAAGCTGGTATTATCGCAGAGGCTCGGGCTGGTGATGCTCGAATTATGGATACACGCCCTGATGAACAAGCAAGAGCCATTACTATTAAATCTACTGCCATTTCTTTGCATTTTAAGCTGAGTGATAAGGATATGGCTTACGTCAAACAACCTTCTGATGGAAATGAGTTTTTAATTAATTTAATAGATTCGCCAGGCCACGTGGACTTTTCCTCTGAGGTTACAGCTGCGCTTCGTGTCACTGATGGTGCTTTAGTAGTTGTCGATTGCGTGGCAGGTGTGTGCGTTCAGACGGAAACCGTTTTGCGTCAGGCTATAACAGAGCGGATTAAGCCGGTTTTGATGATGAATAAGATGGATCGAGCTTTGCTTGAATTACAAACTGGCAAAGAAGAACTTTTTATGACTTTGCAGCGCACTATAGAATCTGTCAACGCTGTTGTTAACACTTATTGCGATGAAGATGGGCCCATGGGCAATATATCCGTGGACCCGACAGAGGCCACCGTTTGCTTTGGCTCGGGATTGCATGCGTGGGCATTTACTTTAAAGCAGTTTGCTGAATTTTATTCTGGTAAGTTTAATGTCGAAGTTGATGTTCTTATGAAAAAGTTTTGGGGTGATAACTTTTATAGCGCTAAAGAAAAGAAATGGTCTAACACACAAAAGCCTGGTTATGAACGTGGTTTTTGCCGTTTTGTTCTGGATCCGATAATGAAAATGGTCGATGCGATTTTAAAAAGCAAAAGGGAAGTTGTTGAGAAAATGTGCAAGGCTTTGAATATTGTTCTTACTTCGGAAGAATCACAATTGGAAGGCAAAGCTTTACTTAAAACTGTCATGAGGAAGTGGTTGCCCGCAGGGGATGCTCTTTTGCAAATGATTACCATTCATTTGCCCTCTCCTTATACTGCTCAAAAATATCGAACTGAACTTTTATATCAGGTATTATCTTTAACCGCTAATTTTTTATAGTTTCATATAATAACGGATTTATTAGGGTCCAATGGATGATGAAGTTGCCGTGGCTATGAAAAATTGCGATAAGGATGGTCCTCTAATGCTATATATTTCTAAGATGGTTCCGGCATCGGATCGCGGGCGGTTTTATGCTTTTGGTCGCGTTTTTTCAGGAACAGTAACGTCTGGTCAAAAAGTTCGCATCATGGGGCCTGATTACAAACCGGGGAAAAAGGAAGATCTAACGGTAAAGCCGATTCAAAGAACCGTTCTTATGATGGGTAAGTACATAGAGTCCATTTCTTCTGTCCCAGCTGGGAACATTGTCGGTTTGGTTGGTATTGATCAGTACTTAGTTAAAACGGGAACATTGACCGATTGTGAAACTGCTCATAATATGGTTCAAATGCAGTACTCTGTCTCGCCGGTTGTGCGCGTCGCGGTGCAGTGTAAAAATGGTTCAGATCTTCCTAAGTTGATTGAAGGGCTTAAGCGGCTGGCTAAGTCCGACCCCCTCGTCCAAGTGACCTTAGAGGATTCTGGCGATTATGTTATTGCCGGTGCTGGTGAACTGCATTTAGAAATATGTTTAAAAGATTTGCAAGAAGATCACGCTATGATCCCTTTAATCATTTCTGATCCCGTTGTCTCTTATCGCGAGACCGTGTCTGATCTTTCCAGCATCGAATGCTTGTCCAAAAGCCCCAACAAGCACAATCGGTTATACATGCGCGCTGAACCGTTGCCGGAAGGTCTTTCTGAAGCTATTGATAACAAAGATATAGAAGCTTCAATGGAACCTAAAGCGCTTGCAAAGCCTCTGGTCGAACAGTTTGGCTTTGATCAAACCGATGCCCGTAAAGTTTGGGCGTTCGGCCCTTACACTACTGGCCCCAATCTTCTTGTTGATACTACTAAAGCAGTTCAGTATTTACATGAAATTAAAGATCACGTAACAGCTGGTTTCACCTGGGCCTCCCAAGCTGGGGTTTTGTGCGAAGAAAATATGCGGGGCATACGATTTAATTTATTGGACGTTGTACTTCACGCGGATGCTATACACAGAGGTGCCAACCAATTGATGCCTACATCTCGTCGTGTAATATACGCCTCTCAACTTACGGCAAAACCGCGCTTGATGGAACCCGTTTTTTTGGTTGAGATCGAATCCCCTGAATCTGCCGTGGGGGGGATTTTTTCATGCCTTAACAAGCGTAGGGGTACCGTTCTTGACACTATTGCAAAAGAAGGGACCCCTATGCGCACTGTCCGGGCTCACTTGCCCGTTGCGGAGTCATTTGGGTTTACCTCTCAACTTAGAGAGGCCACTCAAGGTCAAGCATTTCCCCAGTGCGTATTTGACCATTGGGCCATGATTTCTGACGATCCTATGATGCCCACTTCTAAAGCAGGAGTGATTGTTAAAGATATTCGTAAGAGAAAAGGTTTAAAGGAAAGTATTCCTTCTTTAGATGAGTACTTTGACAAACTTTGATGTTTTTATTGGGCTTATAAATAAAGTTTTCATAGTAACCTTAGTTTTAAAATTTTTAACTTATGGAGAAGGTTTAACATCGACCCTTTTTAGCATGTTTTCCTTTTCTTTTTAGGTTTTTTTATCCTTAGAACTTGTAAGCTACCTTTTCATTTAATATAAGAAATCTCCTAAATAGTATAGTTAATTGTTGAAAAAAAAAATTAACATTTAGTTACGTTTTACCATTATGCGTGCTATAAAAACCTAAGTTTAGAATTTAGGAGAAAGGGATTTAAAGTTTCCCTATGCTATTGCTTAATTAATATTTGGTATATGTCACGCACTTATATTTATTTTCATAATTTTTAACTACTCTCAAATATACTTAAATTTTTCTCCTAGTCTTCACCTTGATGAAACTAGAATTTCTTAAAAGTAAATTTTTTTAAAAAAACGAGAGGGAACACAGAACCGCCAATGATTTGTTAAACGTACTTAAAATAATTCAAAGAATTAGATACAGCGCAAAAATAGCGATCCATACCTTTATTTAGTTTAAGTTAATATAAGCCCAAGGGCCAACTAAGAACGGGATGCCTTTTATTTATTTACATTACAAAACTTAGTGGTATTTACTGGTGCTCGATCGAACAGTAAAGGAAAACACCGAATTTACGAGTTCTATACAGGGTGAAAGCGCACACATTAGCTTTAACCTTGTGTTAAAGCGGTATTTAAAAATTACTCAGTCATTGCGTTCTCAGCGATAGCGTGTGCCGTACCAGATTTCATAGTTGAACTCGGAAAACGTTAACTAGAAGTTCAATCTGGAGACCTTGATGTAACGCATCGTTGAGAACAAACCGCGGTCCGTCCGCCATGGGCGTATCAGCTTGTTTTGCCTTACATAAAGCGAAGAGACTATTGCCTGAGTCGTTCTTAAGTCTCACTACACATGCAAGTGTCTTTGTTGTGCAACGAGAGTTTGCTTTGGGCACAAAGCAAAGGCCGCCGGCTTGACCTTTGCCCGGCAATATAGTTTATGAGCGGCCGCCCAGGTATTTCGCTAGAGCACACCTTGTTTACGAAGGTCAGCGGCGTTAATGGTGTTATGCGCTTCTTCGTGATAAAAAAAATCTTTTCTCTTTTTAGCATTAATAGTAATCTTTTGACGACGACACCGGTTAACGAGCTTCACTAGGTAGTAGTGTAGACGCGACTTTGACGAGGAGTAAATTGCTTAACAGTGTCATCCCAGGCAATCCGCGTGTAGGGGTCGTCAGACTGTGGCACCTCACACACGCAAAGTGCAAAGAGCGGGGGTGATAAAAGAGGCCCTTGTAGGACTTCGGCTGATAGTAATTTTTGGGGTTAGCACGCTTCGCCCGCACATAAATGAAAGACGCTATCCTTAAGGTAAGGTTTAATCACGTTAAAAAGAACAGTAGGAAGGGGCTATGGCCCTCAAATTGTGAAGCAATCCTTGTCCTAAACTCAGTGAAACGCCTTTTTGACATCAAAAAAGCGGCGTCCTTTGCGTTCTTTATATTGAAGGTAGAGGTCGTCTTCCCTGTCAGAAGAAGGAGTTATTGTGTGGTGTAGTGTCCATGCAAATTCAAATTGGAACTCTGGCAGGCGTGGCTTGAGTCAACCAATGCTCCCAAGCAGCGCAGTATGGCCGGCTCAGCCACTTTACTAACGGCTAACAAGGGGGCTGATAGGCCTGCTAGATAGAAATAAAGATGAATTATAAAGGTACAGATAGAATAAACCTGTTTAACTAATTTCTATGAAATCAACATTAAATAGTGAATTAATATTACACTAAGATTTTTAAACTTACAACTAAACAATCATATCTGTTACAAAAAAAAATTACTTATACCTGGTTCAGAAGTGGGCAGTAAAATAGCAACACGGTAATTATAGCTATTATGTAATTTGCAAAGTATCTGCCTTTTCGTAGACTCGTTTTTGTGACGTATAGCAAGTGTTTAAAAATCTAAAATTGGTATTTAACTTCGATGGTATAGATGATGAGGCCAATCTAACAGGTATAAAACGCTGTCTATCATCCGGGTTTAAGAGTTGTAGTCGGTAGCCTCGTAAGTAGGAGGCTTTAACGCTCAAATTCAAGGTTGCGGGTCTGGTTCCCATCGATACGACTGTCTATTTCGGTCTGTGGTGGTTGCGAATTTATACCCGCCCTCAATTTTTGGTAGTCTTAAAGGTTTAGGGTAAACAAACGGGTTTGTGTCTAAGGGATACTATAACAACTTAACAAATATATTAATTAGATAAAATTGCTATCCTAGTGTTAAAGCATTACATAGTATTGAAAAAATTACGATATGCATGAAATTGTAGGAGTTGTAGTGAAAACCTAACATAAACGGAGGCGCTCTAGAAGAAATTTCGCGTGAACTAGAGCATTCTATAAGGCTGTCTTATTGATTGCTCCACAAGCCTAAAAGAGAGGAGTGCAGTGGAATTGTGTGAAGTTTCCGTCTGGTTAATTTGGCGCTTCTTTAAGTTATTTCAGGGTTATGGTATGGATTTTATCTAGTCATATTAGTGCAAAATAGTATTAATTTATAGAATGTTAAATATAGGTCTTATAGTTGATGTTTCCAAAGTATTAAAGATCCCCTGGTTTCATAGGCCTTTATGGTTTACTGCTAGTGTTATTTCTAATATTCGAACTAAGTTAGAATTAAAAAACCACTGGGTTGTGATTATGGTGCTTTTTAAGCAAGCTATAGGCTTAGGGTAGGATTCTGTTCAGGGGAATGGTACTTATTTTAGTGCTAGCTGAAAGGCTAACTCTTCAAAATGGAAAAACTATAGGTTAGATTGAATCATGCAGCAGGTTTTGTTTCACCTGTGAGGGTATCAACTCTTCAATTTTTTAGTCAAAAGTTAGTCGACTGTTGAAATTTAATTTTGGACGCGCATATTTATATATTACTAGTTAATAACACTATTAATATAGTATTATTTTATTTAAATAATCATTTAAGGTGCCTTGGTTCCTTCCAGGATGAAATGCATATTGAACGAGGGCAATACAACCAGCAAGCCAACAAGATATCTTTTAACATTAGCATGATTTAAAAGCAGTGCTATTAAGTCAAGCAATAGTAATATCATAAATAAAGTTTAATAATGAAGTTTTTAATTTAAAATCACTCGACCATGGGAAAGGGGACGAGGTCTGCTTGGATCCCTGCGAAAGCATTTTGTAACGGAGGCCCACACATCTATGCACTTAGATATATTGTGAACTTACTAATATTTTTTTAAAATGACACTTATAACTACGTTGACAACTGCTTACTAGCTGAAGAAGACATATTTCAAAAAATTTTGTACACTTTGTTTGACACATTATTATTGAGGTTGGGAAAAGTGCTAATTTTTTAAGAGTTTCATTTGGCTACACATACACTATTTTTTTCCAAAACCAAATATCCTTGCCCTTAAAATAGCTTTTTAGCGAGCCCAGATACTTTTATTATAAAAGCGTACAGTTCAGTATCTTCGAAATAACAGTGACTAATACCTACTGCTTTAAAGATAGCCGTTTTGTTATTTCATTTACATATTTGTCGCCTCACTACTTAGGTTATCCAAATACCTTTTAAAAAAAGCAAAAACGAAATTTAATAGTAATTTTTCCATTGCACCATAAATAAACTAGTTTGGCATTTACAATTATACAGTACCATTCTCTCCTTACAAAACCGAACTTTATGTTGTTTTTTCTTCAGTATTAAAATTGGTGTTAAACACGTAATTAGAAAAAGAGATCGCGTCGGTAGGAATCGAACCCAGGACCTTGAAATTGCGTATTAACACTCTTTACCGTTGAGTTACTCTCAGTTGCGGTATGATGGATTTTCAAATTTAACTTGTTAAAGTACACATGATTCTTGTAAGTTATACACCGCTAATTAGGCCAATTCACTCACCATAGCAAAACTTCCGTGGTCTTTTACGATAAAAAATTACAAAGCTTGGACTTAACCAGGCCCTGGCCCTACATGCAAACACTGAACTTGGCTGAGGTATACAAACAATGTTGCCAGGTGGAACGCAGTTTGGTTTATTCGGCTATGCTATCTTGTTTTTTGTATCTCTTTTATAAAAATTGTATCTTATGTAACCATTCATTCCCCCCTATAACACCTTTTCGTCTGGTGGAAGTTACGTTATCCCCTAGCTTCCTTACTGTATTTAATCTCCATAATTATTTTAATGGTTAAACTTAACGTTTAAATCAATTACATTTATTAACAAAGGAGTTGAGGTTAAGTGCCACAGGGGAGCTATAAAAGAGGATGTTTACTGTGAAACTAAAACCTGTCAATGAGCTACAAGGAAGAGTTAGTCGAAGTAACAAAGATCATATATATGAATAAAGATTACAATAACAAAAAAATGAAAGCTTTTTGTAACACGTTACTAATAGAAATGGTAATTTAATAGTAGACATAACAGTAGAATTTAATAGCACATAAATCCTGAAAACAGGTAAAACGCAATTTGATAACTTTAATAAGTTTATTGCGCTTCACTATTACATGTTACATGTTTATTTAATTTTATTAGCCGAAAGGTTCTTTAAAAAGCTAATTCTTTTTGGTAGTCCTTAATTATTTTAATTTTTCTTTCGAGCAAGTCAAACATCTGCTTGGCGTACTTCGAAGAAGTAGTCTTAAATTGAAAAATATCATGGCATAATTAGGTACTAATATGAATTATTTAGGGAGCAAACTATAGTAGTTTAAGAATATACAGTAGAGTATATTGACACCACGTCAACTCTGGAATAGATAAAACATCTAGTTATGTTATTTTGCATATTAAATTAATTTATAGCTGTATATAAGGTTATTTTAATTCTTAGAAAAGGTTTTTAATTTCCGAGTAACGTAATGAAGAATTACATGGCAAATATAAGTGTTAAAATACCTGTTGGCGAAGATATTGTTTGTGCAAAAGCGCTTCCTCCTCTGAAAGTTCGTTAAGTACTGAAGTGTATGTCTTATGTAGAAAAAGAAAGTCTTTCTCATTTTGAAGACTGTTTCTGAATGTATGAACAAAGTTTTTTAATAGTTTTGGTCAACTGTAGCGCAGGTAGCATAAGCACCTCTAAAACAGGTGCTAAAAATATGAGGTATTTAGCTAACAGATACGCTAAGACATTTCAATATTTAACTATTTTTTGCAACCATATTACGGAAATCTATAAATTCCCTGTAAGCTTTAAGCTTTCAAGCGTATATACTATAACCAACATTCGACGTGGTTTGAAACTTAAAATATGTAGTTTTCTCTATAGTTTACTAATTACTCTAGTAAGACAAGTTAATCAAACTACTGCAAGATGGTGAGTTATAAAGTTTTGAAGAACAAAGTATAATTATAGTCCCTCTGCCTTAATACTTAAAAAGTGAAGTGATCAATATGTTTCACAATATTCAGTAATTTTTTTATATCTTGATATTTGGCACTCACGCAATGCGAAATGTAGCGTGCACTTGCAAACAATAAGCAGATAAATCTACTCTTAATACCTTACAGGTGTAGATGACTTCTCGACTCTTTTGCTACTCAAATCGGTAAAGGGAACGCGTCGAGGAGTGCAGATTTCAATGGATGAATACTTCTCAGTGGAGGAAAGGCTCCGCGCTGGCTTTGTGCGCGGTGATGGGGTGAAAAGTAGTTCTACGAATATATTGATGTTCATACTGTACTTATATTAACAACCAAAAATTAAAACATCATACCAGAAGAGTCGGCTTTGACAGAGTTTTTACTGTGATTAGCTGTTGTAACACGGCTAAATAATATATAATATCATTTTATATAAACGTGCTTTCGCTTAATAAAATTCAGTTGCAACGTAAAATAAAGAATAATAGAAAATTACAAGCATGTTTATCTTTTACATATTTATGTTTTATTTAAATTTGTAAGCAGTTGAAAAGGTTTCAATAAAATGAATATATGCTTTATGACTAAAACGTAGTTAGAAGTTATCATGCGATAAATAAAGCAAATAATAACGATGTCTAAGTCGACTAATTTCATGCATTTTAAACAATACTAAGCAAACAATAATTTCAGAATGACTAAGCAATTAAATTAAAAAAAATAAAAGGAATGTGAAAAAGTCCAAGTGTAAGTAAAGTAGCAACTGCTCGAATCATGTAAACTTATAATACTTATTGCAATATTCATTATCTTATTCGTTAATATAAAACCGACTTATTAGTTTTTGTTTTTTTAAAGTAACAAAAGCCACTTATGGCGCCCTCCAACCTTTTAATGGACAAATGGTTAACTTAAAATAATTTTTTTACTTCTTTAATAACTAAAGTTCTTCGTATTATTAATAAACAGACAGTAAGGGATAGTTAACTTGTAAGGTAAATATTAAAAATTTAAAGCAGTAAAGAATATTGTTATAGTAATAACGATAATAAATCAAGCAAGCCACGGACCAAGGAGAAGGATGATGATAAGGCGTCAAAGTGCACTCCTCCACGAAACTTTCTGCAAAGGAGGTATCCCAACTGTTAAAGCTGCAGTCAATTGATGCATTATGATAAGATGAAGCTTCACTTGGATAATTGCTTGAAGCTAAGTTTAAAAAGTTATAAAGGGTGTTTCCCGAATAAGATTATAAAACAATGGAGATTATAAATAAATATTAATACTTTAATATGACTAATACAAAGAACATAATATTATATAGGGTTAGTGACAAAAGCAGAAAGTTGAATTGTAAAGAAGTGAGAAAGTCTTTAAATTATAAATAAGAAAGTGCAAAGTTATAAAAAGTGGACATGCGTAAACAGACAAACAGCAGAAACGAGTACGTGAGGGTGAAGGCACCAGAGAAATAGCTTTTTGTGGTGGGGAATCATTGTATCGTAAAAGTTTTGCAAAGCTCTTGTTAGGGACATCAAGATTCGTGTTTCGTAGTGAAGGTAATTTCAACGGTGTGTTATTCTCTTTAGCGTTATTTTCTGTTCTCTTGGCTTTTTGCTTTGTATAAATACTTCTGCCTCCTGCCGATTCGATAAAATGTTTGTTCCTTCTCAGTTCTTTTACTCTGTAACAATGTAACAACTATAAGTTATCTCTACCAATAAGCTTACAAAATATATCTAACATGGCAATAATATAATAAGCATACCCATTTAAAAATTGGTGTTTATTTATAAAAACTATCGAGCAACAACGTTTAGTCTAAAGTTTTACATCACGAGCCAACAATCTAAACTACTTAGAAGAATAAGCCGATTACGTAGCTTGGAACCTATCAGCATATCGAAGTGTGTTAAGCGTGTGCTCTACCGAAGAACTATTGGGAGCAATCGTCGCTATCATACATGTTATGGAGCCTCCGACTAACGAATCTCGAAGAACCTATATAAAGCGAGTAGTTAGAGTTATAGTAATGCAACAATTGTATTTACTCAACAGCACACTAAAAAAGTTGTTAATAACCTGTTTAACTTTTATATTTATCCTAAAAAAAAAAAGCAGATTTAAACAAGTTTATGAGCTGAGCGCACTATATCCTTATGTTAATAAAAAATGTCTCCCAAAGGGTTAAATTAGTGTATGGACCCAGAGATTTTAATAATTTAAAGGGTCATTTCCTTGATTTGTTGATTAGTTTGTACCAACTTTATTCAGTATAAAACGGTTTCCAAATTGCAAAAGAATATTTCGTCAAAATATTTTTTAAGGCAATTTTAATTAGTTTGTATTTGTTATATGCACAATATTTTCTCAATAAAGAATGAATTCCTTTAAAACTTAAGATTCTGCTAATTTCCTAGAAATGACTAGAGATAAGGGTGCCTCTATATAAAGTTAGATGTAGGCTGCGATCATGGCGCCTTAGAAGACCAACAACTAATTGAAATCCTATTATTTACTGGGTAACAACAATAAAAAGGCAGTCAATGTCATCCTTTATCCGGTTATAAGTCCAGAGCAATATTTTTATTGTACCAACATTGCTATATTACTTCGAATTAAATTTCTAATAGTTGAGCATTAATACTTAACAAACGCAGTCACTTCCTTTTTCGTATATTTCCTTTAATCAAGTTTACTTTTATTTTAAAGCTTTTAGAGCATATTTCATATGTCTTAGTAACACCACTATGACTTTTAAAAAATAAATTTTTAAAGTTATCCTTTAAATAAATACTTAAAATTTGAGTCGCATCATAAGTACTTTATTACTTCCTTCCACTAGTTTGATACTAACGTTTGAGATTAGTTTATACAATTAGTATTCCAACTTATTAACAATACATTATTAGGACCTCAATAAAAAAAATTAAAGAAAAGAAAAGAGAAGAATGACTAACCTGAGTTAGTTTACTTTGCCTAAAGGGCGTGTGCTTGGAGTCCTGATCCAATGACCTGATGCATTCCTTCAAAGCCAATAAGCTCTGGTTTATTTCGGCGCCCTCCATCCTGAGGTGGAAATATAGCGTAAGGTTTAAATATATTAAGCCCTATAACTGGGCAGCTACAAAATAAACCTTGTTTGCTTATCATGTTCTGTAGTATCTGCTGCTCTTTCACTCCCTGCAAGATCAATAAAAGAGAACTTTCCTGTTATAAACGAAAGATCATTCAATACAAAAACTTAAGCAGATAATACAAAAATATTCTAGAGTTACCATGGAGTTACTTGTTTATAAAATTATTATACAATTCAAATAAATAAATTCACTAGAATCTCAAGATCAATACTGTAAACTATTCAGCGTAGAAGTAGTAAGTAACTACATGCCTAAAAGACGTTCAAAGTTCTATAGTTGACCACTAAATAACTCTGTAATAATTACTCATGACAAATAGCTACTCTGTATTAGCGAGTAGGATAATTTTTTTTATATATACATGGTTAATTATTAGATGCATAACATAAAATTTATATATTTTCAAAATTTTAGATCAGCAGCAACACCTAAAGAGGACAGAGCTTAATGTTAAATATTGAAAGTTATGAGCATTGTTAACTTCATATTTTAAGAACAAATGTTACTATGGTGGCATAGATCTCCTGGCAACCATACAGAGAATAAAGACTTGGCTGGGTTACTAACCATATTCCTCAACCCCGTTCTTTTTCAGAGTAATTTGAAGAATAGCGTGGGACCGAGATGAGTCAACATTTACGCCGGTTTGACCTTAAAGTTTTTAAAATAACAAAAGTTAAAGGTCAATGTAGCCTCCGGACTACCGGTTACACTTTTATAAAAGCCGTCTCTGTTAGTTAACAAAGATAAGTTTATTCAATTATTAGTACATAAGCACAATATCAATTGGTGCCAAACAAAAAATTTTCCATGATACTTAAAATATTGTAATCTAAGCATAATTGGAAAAACACGAAGAAAGCCACGAACCGGTACTCCTTTCTGAGCCTCCTTGAGTAATTAACTTCAAAAGTGGTGAAGTCCCGGAAATTTGAACTTCTTTTAAACCTGCATTAATTAAAAAGGAAGAAAAGGTTTCAGAAAAATCATTAAGAGTTATATAGGACTACAATACTACTTTTCTTAACAAATCATTTCCGAATATTCACTCTATTTAAGTTTGGAAATAATATATTAAAAGAGACAATAATAGAAAATCTTAAAATTTATATCAAATTCAGCACAAACACAAGTATTTACGCGGATTAAATAATATCAGTGACTTAACATCATTTTAATTTTCTAAAATAGAAGTTCAGTATTTCCTAATAGCTGTCGCTAACCTTGGATAACAACTCTTTGTTTTCCATCTTCCCGGGCTTGAACTTTTTTTCGATTGTTTAACAGGTCGTATAAGCTTCCACAGTATATTTCAAACAGACTCACAAAAACCTAAAGGCTATTGTTTAGTTGAATACTTTGTTAATAGAGTTATTATCAATAAGTCTCTGTGTTTGCTAGAATTAATTTGACGTGAAGAGGAGGTTACGTGATACACATAACGGTTATACAAAAAAATAAAAGGTTAACGTAGTTTACAATTCAATTTTTTTATATTATTTCCAAACTATATAAAAATCTAGAATTCCGTTTTAAATTTTTAAAGCGTCTTCATTGGTGAACTTTTAATCCAATGCACTATGGCTGTGTGGGTCCCCAAAGGTACTTAGAAAAAGTACCATTGAAGAGATGTGGCAATGTAGCTCTGACTTGGCAAGTCTGGATGAGCAGCCATTATAATACCTTTTATAAACAGTCGTACGTCAAGTTACGTTACATTTCACGTAATCTTGGCGACATAATAGAATATCTTTTGGTAATTATAAATCATTTTTTTAATAATATCAATAATTATTTTAACTATTACAAAGTTCTTAATCAACGTAAGGAAAGTTATAATTAAAACTTTAAGATAATATATATTCTTAAGCAACGTGAAAAAGCAACGTGAAATATGTTTTTCTAAAAAGCACTCGTCAAGTAGATTATAAAGCTAACTATACGTTACTTTGGGAGTCAAAGTTCTTTGTCAGCAATTTAAATTATGCTTCCAAAGTACTAAAAATAACAGTTATAAAATTTTTTAAGTAAAGTATAATAATTTAGTAAAACTACTAATATAAATATGATGACAGTAAAATATTGACTTATATAATTGAAAACAAAGTTATAGATGTGTTTTATAAGACTTTAAAAAATACCAATTTTCCAATAAATATTAACTATAAAAATATATTAGCGAACACTTCAACATATAATAGTTTAGAGGAGAACAAGTGATTGAACCTTAAGTTCATTATAAGACTGTTGTTTTAAAACAGAAAAAAGATCTTCAGCCGCCAGCATATAGAGTCCTTTAACTAACAAAACGTTTATAATGAGGTTTTATGCTTTAAAAGGATAATAGTAATGATGCGATGATTATCAATTATTTCTATGCAAAATATGTGACACCAGGTAAAAGCCTAATACAAAAGTTTGTACATATTTTCATCGACAAAATTCCTTAAAACTTCTACAACTTTTATGCACCAAGAAGAAAGAGCAACGAAAATGTGTATAATAAATTATAACCAAATTTATTGTGTATTTATAAAAGCAATGTTTCTAGCGCAGTTAGAAACCAGAATAAATTTTCAGTTGTGAAAAGTAACTTCCCCGTAATATTTTAATTAAAGGATTAAACACACTTGTAAGCTGTAGCAATAACAAAACTTCCTGAAAAAATACGAAAGCAAAAACATAACGGCAAAGAAACCTTTAGAGTTTCCTAGCATCGTGTGCGTTTTGCCACTTCCTTAACAGAGTTATTAAACAATTAAAAAAATATTTTGTAAAATAAGTTTTTATCACAGAATAGAGAAAAGACAACAATGAATTACACACCAATAATATGATAAAAAAATATGAAAAAAAAAGAGAAGTGAAAAGTTTAAAACGGAAGAATCCTCAGCAAAATTTCAAAAGAAAATACCAGTTTGACCGCTGATTAAAAAAAGTAAAAAAAAAATTAGTGTTGTAAAGAAAATCAAATATATTGAAGAACACAGGCTTCCATTCAAACATAATAAATAAAACGTTTTATGGTGAGAATATATTTATTAACCAGTAGTTGATTTAATAATGAGTCAGCTTTACACGGTAATAGACCATGAGTGGTACATAATAGTAATAGTAAACCAAAGATAGTTATACGGAAAATACTTGAGAGAACAGATGGAGAGCAAATGATAAAATGGGCTTAATAAAGGCTGCGAAGGTCGCTACTAAAATAATTGAATCTCTTATCACAATATTTTAGTAATGAAAAAATGCCACAAAAGAGCAGCAAATAAAAGATAAGTCCAGTTATATTTGCAGATAATACACAAGTAACAGTTCACTTAAGGTTAAAAGAGGCAAGTAAGTGACGGGAATTCTTCGATTATTCAAATTTAAAATATTATAACTGAAAGAAAGAGAAATATATATAAGAAAATTTCGAGAAAACAAGTTAAACACAAACGTCAATAAAGACAATAAAACAAGCTCGCAAGCCATTATAATACTATTTGAGCAGTTAAACTACCATTATTTCAATTTTTTAAATATTCTACTAAAAAAAAATGATAATATTAAAATTAATAAATATATTTATGATAAATTTTTAAAAAAATTAACCTATTTAATATAAAACTAGAACAAAAAACATCAAGAAAAATTCTAGTGAAAATAATTGCCTAAATGTAAATAAATATATAATGCACTTTACTAAGCAAAACAGGTGGCATTTTTCCTAGAGAAAAGGTGGGCAACAAGAGCTTTGGCAGTTCTTTCGTAAACCTTATTTGTAAAATTAATTATATTACGTGTTATAAATCAACAATTAAAAATAAAATACTTGCTATACTTTAGATAAGTTTGATTTAAGTGTCAAACTCGAATGGATAAAATCAAAGTTAAATAATATCTTAATTATAAAAAGTTGATATTAAAGTAATTAAATAATAAAAATAGTAAACATAGATAATATGTAAATAATGAAAATGACATTAATTAATATATAAATAAGAAAACGAGCTCTCTATTGGAAATAAAGTATACACCAACGGCCCAGTAAATACTTTTAAAAATTAAGAAAAGCAACTAACCACTTACATACTTGTTAAGAAAATATGTTGTCTTTCAAATAAAAACGGTCAGTAAGAAAAAACAGTTTAGTAAACTAAGGTCTCTACGATCGCTAACAGTTAAGTAAAACCTCTTCATTGGAGCAGGACTCATCGAAAACTTCGTCAAACCAAAATTGATGTTGCTGAAGTATCTTTTGCAAATCCACCGTCATTCTTAAGATGATTACAGTTAACTATGACTTTTTTTAGATTAACTTGATACATACGCTGTTATTACAAGGTATAGACAATAAAAACAAAATTTTTTTTATTTACAGTGTATAAGTAGTTGTGGTTCTTTAAAACTCTTTGTTTATAAAACAAAGTATATTAATACTTTAAGAAATATATTAAAGTTTTGTATTATAAACCTTTCCTCATTCACAAGTAGACTGTCGTTGCCGTTAACAACTGTAGTGTTGTTTGTATCGCCGCTTAACATCTCCTAATGCACCCAACTTAAAACTAAATAAAAATATACTTTAAGGCTCCCTTCCACACCTTTTTGTTTAAAGGCCGCTTCCTTACACAAACGCGAATCCTTTTCTCTTTAGTATACATTTTTTGAGAAGCCTGTGATGAGTCAGGTCTTGGTGAATGTTCTTATTAGAGATAAATATTCTATACCTTTCGCTGGGTGAGTCCACAATAGTATTTAGAGTCTCGGGAATGCGTTACATCCTGGTTTTCTTTCTGTACTTCCTGTTTCGTTATAGCCTTTTTTGGGGAGGCTGAACTTGTAGTTGAATATTTGTTTAGACTTCTTAACGAAGTATCCGTAATCAAAGAATGCTTATTTAAGGTTGACGAAGAGTGAACTTCAGAACGAGAAAGTTCCTGTACATTACTCTTATCTGTAGTTTGTACAGGCGGAGCTTTGCTTTCATCAAACGGAGTTTCATGTACAAAATTATTAGGAAAAGAAGAGTCCAAAAAAGGGCTGTAGGGAACTATAATTGACGTTAAAAGAAATAAATTACACTAAAAATAATAGACACTTTTATGAGAATTTTGTCCCTCTAATAAATTTGTTCTAGAGCCATCCTTCCCTAAATTCGTAATAGGAAAATTTCCACTTTTAAGATGCTTAACGAGCTGAAATAATTTTCTCCTATCTGATAACTCTACTACTCCAAGACCAGCATAATCCTATATATTAGTAATTTTTCACAATATGTAATTTTATATAGAATAACTAGGTTGTTTACTCTGAGCATTAACAAGGAAAGTGATTCAACTGTTAAATTAGATTTTTCAAAATTGATAACGTGTTTATCTAAGCCCCAGTTAGAAAGTAAGGTAGATAATTCATTCATTAGTCTGTAAACTTTGTTTATGTGAATATAGCAATACCTCTATCTTTAATTTAAAAAACAAAAACATACGCTTTTAATCGAAGCTCGCACCATGAAAGGGTTAAAAACCTCCACCTAATTTTAAAGTTTACGAGCCGGGCCAATACAAAAAACAACTGAGCAACCTGCTGGCTTTTGTCCTAGGTTGTGTGTTTACAATAGTGACCGTAAGTAGAAAAACAACTAATATATATATCAAAAGGTTAAACGAAATAAGAAACGTATTGTGGAGTAAAAACTTTATCATCTAGCGCATCCGATTATCCTATCAGCAGGTGGTGAGTTTGTGAAATAGAAGAGAGGTGCATCGTTTCTATGGAAACATTCTTTAAAGTAAAATTTGGTAATAACGGTCAAAGTCAAAGTCGTATTCTAAGCACTATACTATTTGCTGCTGTGTGTTAAAAGCTAGTATGTCCCTACACAACTAATTGCGTCTACATTATATGTGCGTGCGTCCTATTATGGCCTACATGAGAATTAGAGCACAGTCTTTTCATTTTATGTTGATAAATTATTTTAAAAATAATGTTGTTATAAGTGATTCTCCTTGAATATATTAAAATTAAGCCCACGCTTAAAAGATTATTTCACAAGCCATTAAAAATAAAATAAATTCTTGAGCGCGGAGCTCTGGCGCTATAGTTCTTTCGTCTTCAGCTTCCGGCAGTCTGTAGGTCAAAATGCTAAGAATGCGGGCTAGCTTTTAAATAGTCATAATTTCCCTGGGGAAGCGTTCATGGAGGACATTCGTGCGTAAACACATCGTCGCTTTAGATCTTTTAAAGTTCGATTCGTAATATGCCATTATGTCACTGCTAAAAAAGGTTCATTCTAGATAGAAGGATTAGCCCCCTTGTCATTTTGTATGTGACCTTTGAAACTCAATAATTTTGCTAAACTTACTATGCTTTCTTATCTAACTTCTGATAATTATTTTGCTCGTGTACTTAATAAAATACATCACATATTACATATTTTTAGGCGGCCGAAATGAGTTAGTCTTCTAATTACCGAAAATAGGAGCTCCTCGTCAATTTTTTAGTTGAAAACACCACCTTAAGGATAGAGTCCTTGTGTTTACCCGGAAGTCCCGCTTTAAAGAGGTATGCTTATCTGATAGACTAGCTAGCTGAGGTTATATGCTAAATCGCTTGTGGCTCGTTTATATAGTAACTTAGTAAAGTGCTCCGACAGAAATGTCGACTCCATTCAAAAGACCTTTATAAATGACAAATATAAAAGGAATCAAATGACTCTTAAATATACAGTTCTATATTTTCTTAATGTCCGTGAAATTCCGCCCGTCTAAGCTAAGTTTTGGGTGTAACGCTTAAAATATTATAAGTTATTTTTGTTAAGGCGTGTTTATAATAAAGAAGAAACTATTTTAGCGTGTTGTAGGCCACGATCATTTATTTATTTAGAATGTCAGTAATATAAATAGAAAAAACAAGCCCTCAGAAGGATAAATAACTTTTCTTGCTCTTTATTTCCTAACAAAATGTGTTGTGGTGTAAAAGGACAGCTTAATTACTGTATATATCTACATATACCTTTATTCAATAAATATAAAAAAAAATATTCCCCCTACCTAAATTATGTATATTTACGCTTTATACAGCCATTATCCATGATAGTGCTCTTCTAGAAATAACAGTTTCCTTCGAAATTTTATGGCATCTACTGTGTAAAAATTACTATATATGTTTACAGTTCGTAATGTTTAACCAGCTTGTCCACTAACTTTTTCCTACGTTCTTAATTAGTTTTCATGAAAGCTACTTGGAATTAAAGATACAATTTTTTTTTGAAAAGTAAATTTCTTAATTCTATATAGTGCACATTTAATAAAAATTTAGTTCAGTGTGTAGAGGAATCAAAAACTACCTAACTATTAATAAAATAAACGGACCTCACGCTATCAAGGGCCGGATAAGCAAAGTAGCCCTCGTGTAAAGGAGATGTAAACAAGGGCGTACATCATGAGGGTAAAAGTGTTTGTAGGAACATGGTGATTTATTGAGACATGAATCTATTTCTAAATTAGCCCTATGAAGGAAGAAAACCATTAAAACCAAATAACAAATTTTTAGAGCGCAGTGTTTCTTCTCAACTTTTTATTATAACATTTTAAATAGAGATAACCTCTTAGGCGATATGTTTAGAAAAATTACCAATAGTGGGCTGAAACTAAAATTTTTCTATCCATCCCTAGCTACCTACTATTATTACTACCATGCAAATAAGTATTCATATTTTTAGTTGTCAAAGTTTATACCTAGCCCCCCTCTGCGTCAGTTACCTCACAATGCAATATATAAAACCACAAGCTTTACCTACGCAATATGTGATTGTGGCAAGCTACCTCAGCATTCTACTGAAAAGCACTACTTGCGCAGTCTCCAATCCCTATCGATGAGAAGGTTTCGGGTCCACTTTGCAATTCTCTGTAACCCCGAATATCTTTAATGTCCTTGTTTCTTTCTATGCGGATGGCAACCTTCGCGGGCGCGGGACCCAAATGAACCGCTACTTAACTGTATTTTATTTGCTAATAAACCGCTCTCTTTAGCCAAACTTTATTCAAAGTCGAACAGCACTCGGCCCGGTTTCAACTCCCTCATGAGTGCGATGCTTAAAAAATTTCCATGGTCGTGATGAATTTGTCGATGCTACTCCAATTGTAACAAGTATACATATTTCATTCGAAACACGTTAAACTTTAATTATGGCAAGTAAATATAACTTAATTTCAATTAACAAAATTCTTTGAAACAAATTTTTTTTTATTTACTTAAAAAAATGAAGGTATTACTTTAAAAGGAAGCTTTTTTTTGTAGAAACAACTGGTGCTAAAAAGAAGGAATCAGCTGCGAACATGTCATAACCTTTATGTATATGTAATGAATAACGACTCTAATAAGTTGAATAGAGCATACTTTCTGAAGAATTCGTAAAATTTATAGAGGGCGTCTCAAAAAGGTTAAGATTAGCATTTTTAACTTTTTGAATATGAAATATATCATCCACAGCTTTGTCACTCCTCGGATAGAAGCGGATGCTTTCAGCCTTACGGGTAACATTGAAGTGCTCTTCCAAATTTAAGGAAAGGGGAGCTGGAATTGTTCTATCATTTTGACTCTCTTCAAAAATGCTATTTAATAAAAAGAATTAAAAGTTTATTTACGTTTTCAAGATAAGTAAATTATACTCATTGCTATCGATGCTATCTATGTTTAACATATCCTTCTTTGTATTCCAAACATCCTTATCTAAAAGTAATAGAAGAGTGACTTATAAAATTAAAGCTCTTGCCACTTAAAATCAGAATTTCCTTTGAAGTCGACAAAATAAAGGCTATTAGGAGTGCATGGTAGTTCTAATTTTGCAAGTTGCTGATTTTTTTTAAAAATGTTATTTGAAGTGACAATTCCTTCGTCGCCATTTCTATACTGCTCCATTTTCCGGAGTCTATTTTTCTTAATACGATTATACCACCAGTTTTTTACATCACTTTCAGCTCTTTTTTTTAAAATAATCGGAGTTATAAGTAACTTGGCAAGATAAAAAGTTAAAGACCTATTAGGGAGAGCTCGGGATATACGGGACCTGGCTTCTTCAAATCAGCAGAGAACAGTATTGGTATAGTTTCTGGTACCATTTATTTCCATAAATTTTTTGAGCCTTAATTATAAGTGCTTGTTCGTTAGGAGAAAAGGGGCCTTTTTTCAAGCTGGGAGACAAGCAATTTACCCACCTCATGCGTATTTTTTTATTGAGTATGTTAATATGTTTTGTGTATTTAAATGTGTAAACGTCAACCTTTCACGGCATTGCTTATTAGTTCTGCCAGGGAAAAAAAAAGCCATTTCTTTCCATGACATGGAAGGGTTGTCAAGTTTTAATTCTTGAAGTCTTATATCGTCCTTTTTCGTATATACGGTATTTACTTACTTCTAATAGCTTATTTAATGTTAATAAACCAACATCTTTCGACCATGGCCCTTTTATGGGGCTGGTTTCTCGCAGAATTAACGCCCATCTTTTTTTGCACTCGTTGATGGTCTTATCAACGGTTTTAGATACTAGTTCCCAATTAAATCCGTGCACGTAAATGGTTTTTTTTAAGTTGACATCCTAATTACTGTAGGTAAGACCTCATCGTATAAAATTTAAATAGAAACTCGATTTTTCTTAATTTTTTGTCATAATTAAAAATTATAATATCTACTTGCACATAGGTCCATCCTGGCGCGGATTTTTCTGCTGTTGTTATTTTATTATAAAACGACATATTATGGGACTTTCAAGGGCGGAATTGTGCAAGAACTTTGAAGAGCGTCCAGGTTACCACGACTCGTGCATTAAAAAGGTGTACATTTAAAGTAAAAAGACTAGATAACTTATAATGAGATAAACTTAAATAATAAAAGGAAGGGTAGCAAATACATATTTTTTAATATTGTAGTATTCTATCTATTAAAATATATTTTAATTAAAAACCGCCAAAAGTTGTTTTTTTTAGTTCAAAGAATTTTGTGATATAAACGTTTGATTAACTGTTGCTGTGTAAACTAAGTTGTTGGTCGATTAAATTTTTTTTTAACCAGTTATTTTTCACTACATTAATTTTAGTTAACTTGCTCCCCAACAAATTCGCTAGTCATAAAAGTTAGTTCTAAAAAATAATGCTCTAATATTTATGTTTAAATTAAAAGATGTTAATACTTTTGATAATGTAACACAATAAAGAAGAGAAAAGCTAGAAACCAAAAAAAAATAGAGAACTTTTTTCCTATGGAGATTTTTTTTCCTTCAACCAAGATTTATTACTTCCAGAATTTTTATAGTGGAAGTACATTTCCCGTGGTTGAGGTAAATATTTTAGTTATTATTTTTTAAAAAAAATGTTATTTATTAGTCTCATCCCTTTAAAAACAAAACGATTAGTACTAACTGATATATATGTAGAGTATATCCTAAAAGACACGTTTACATAAGTTATAATACCTTTTCTAATATATTTATTTAAAAATTTCGCTAACGAAGGTAGAATAAATTATATGTAAGGAGTTTGTAAAATTATAGCTGTTTAACTTACAAATTTTAGTGCAAAGGTCGAAAATTTATAAGGAAATCAGGTTAAAATTAAATATATATACCCCTTTATTTATTCAAAATAGTAGGTACCAACAGATTTCGCCCATACATATTAGCGTTTAATTATTAAAATATTTAAGTTTTTATTTATAACAAAACCTCATATTAGAAAGTAAAGTAAAGAGTTGTTTATAAAACTTTTTTAAATATCAAAAAAGTTCTTAACAATCTTTAAAAAACTTGAGTAGTAATATTCATTAAACAAGTTAGGAGAAATAGTAGTTTAAAAAAGTATTAAAGATCATAGGAATGCTCAATTTTAATATTTATTAACGAACTACAGACTTTTAAGATTTTTATAAATTCATTGTAGAAAGTACTCCAACGAGGATCATAAGTTATTTTTGTCTTTTAGCTACCAACAGGATCTTCCAGTAATTTTTTAAATACTTTCAACTTAATTAAAGCCAGTATTATTGATTGTGTAGAATGCAGTAGAACAATGTTTCAAGATTGATTTTGCTGGAGGCCCATACGAAAGCCGCTATTTCCTCACTATTCCTTGTATTAACATTTTTATCAGTTCAAACCTATATATCTTTACAAAAGTAAATTTATAAAAAAATTATTATAACTAATGTTATATAAATTGCGTGTGAAGATAAAAAATTAACTTAAGTTTTTTAATTTTTTTTTGAGTCTAGATTAAAAGCTAATACTAATTTATGCATTATATAACACTATTGTGCTATAATTTTCGTTAATTCCCTTTATTTTGAAATTACGATCTCTTTTAACGAACGTATACTGCGAGGAAGGCCGACAGCGAGTTGTAGTTAGGCTTAAAGCTATGCTTTCTAACTTCGTTAACTTCGCTTAAGTATATAATATAAGAAGTTCTATTTATTATATATATATATATATATATTCGTTTAGCTGCTTGTGCGCGATTTATAAAATAACAACTAAATTGTTTCTTCCCTTTTACCAATAGATCTTTTTATTTTAAAATTTTTATAAAAATATAACCGATCGCCGAGTTCTGTAGCAAGTATTAAAAAGTTTGAGGTGGGAGCAGATCAGCAGTAATCCTTACTATTATTACCTAGTAGCAGTGTTACTATTGTTTCACAAAGTTTTTTTTGCCTTTACTGTTTTTACTGTTTTCTAAAGTAAATTTTAAGTAGCACCCTAACTTATAATTAGTAAACCTTTCTTATGTTAAGGCTTTTTGTACCTTCATTAAAAAAATTATTTTATGCTTACGAGTCAAGCGCCTTCCTCCAGTATTAAAAAATTTACTTCGTATTAGCAAAAAATATTATTATTTTAATTGTTGTATAAAATAAAGCTTTTTTTTCAGCAAAATTATAATTAGTGTAAAATCTCAAAAACTATAATGTAGTTAAAGTCGAGTATACAAAGACTGAAAAGAAAGAATTTCGTCGTAATGTCCTTAAAACACTAAAAAAGAAAAATATTATAATTGAAGATTATATAATTAGTCACTACCAAATAATATTGGCTTTTTTTTCTAAAGTGAACTTTGAATTCTCTCGCTACATTCTTACTTGGCCCGTAAATTTAACTTAACTCTTGCCTTTGTTCAAATAAGCAGAAGTTACGATTATTCGCTAAAATTATAATTAAATTTCTTATTAATACAGTCAAAAAACCTATAATATCAAATTCTGTCATTCTGTTTATTTATAAAAATATAATATTTTGTAAGGTTAATACTGAAGTAAGAGAGCTACCAACTATTGATGGGGTTTTAAGTTAACGAAACTTTTTGAACGTGCATGAAAATCTATTTTCAACCTCTTCTGGGTTAACTGAGACTTAACTAAGCTAAAATTCCTCTTGACGAAATGAAATACCTTGACGAAAATAAAAATTCGAGTTTGAAAGAGGAAACTTTTGTAGATCCTGTCCGTAAAACAGAGTCGGCCGTGCATTTAATTAATTTGTTTGAGTTCTTAATATAAGTTAGTAAAAGGGTTACTGTGTATTTATTATATACTTGCTGTGTATTAATATCCTTCAGCTTACTAAACCATTTGGTAGTAAGTTTAAGTTTTGTTTTTCTAGCACTTTTAATAAGAATAAACAAGAATGTTATTAACTCAAAACCTTTTAACTTTGCCTTGAGTTACCTTTGTTACGTAGAGACGAACCTCTGGAGGTGGGACAAGGCGTGGAGAAGGTAGAAGAGCTAAATAGTAGAAGCGAGGGTAGGGCGAATCCATATTTACAAATTATTCATATTTGACAAAAAGACCCAACTTTTATGTTTAAAGAATATTCCAACAAAAGTTTTATAATTAGGTTTACTGTGTATTTTTTTATCTTTAGAATATAAAGGTATGTATGCCCTACTCACCAATAACTATTAACTTAGCGAAGAAGACACGGAGCTAAATGGACACCTTGAAAAAAAGTGCCTAACTGAACTATATTTGGAATTATTTATTTATTAATTTTATTCATTTCATAGTATATTACTATGTATTATTTTAATATGTTTCAATTTAATGCTTACTAAGTGAACATGATGATAAATCTTTGTTTTTTCCTTTTCTTAAGTTTAATATTATATAAGCATACTGCCGCAATGATGTCATTAGATAAAGTATGACCTTCTTGCCGTAATCTGCTTCCTCTCAGTCTATTTCCTTACTTTTGAGATTTAACTGAAGTAACCTAAAAAATCCTTTTAGTTGTGATTTTATTATACCTTCTTAATACATTTTCGTTTCTTGGTTAATTTTTATACTGCCCGTAATTATTGTTCAAAAGTTTTATATAATGAAGCATTTTTCTTCTTTATACACATCAAGAAATAATTATTTCCCATTATTTCTAACTACCTCATAAAATTATATCTTTTTAACACAATCACTTTACTTTCTCTTAAAAATTTTATAACACCTGCTTAATTCTTTACTTTATAAAATTTGTTTGGTTTTTTTGTTTGATTTGGAGATTTAGCAGGTGGCCGCTACTGATTCAAACTGTCAATATACTTTTCCTTATCTATACTGAAATACTGTTTCCCCATTAATAAATAAAACGCGAATACATCATTCGCAAAACAATTTTTTATGATTTATGTATTAAAACAGAGAAAGAAGCTGTGCGCTGGCATGATAATCAGCTCTATAAATAGTACAAAAAGGCATTAAGTGAAGTATTTATTAGCATTTTAACTGCGAAAAAAAAATGATTTCATGCGTTTTAATGAAGATGAACACTCAAAATTTGCACGGGACACAACTTCGTTATCCTTTTTTCAGTTGGATGCAAATAAGTTAAAAATAATAAAAAAATATAAAAGAATTAGAAATGCGCAATGCCTGCACGTAACTAAACATATTATAAGTTGTTATACCTGTAAGAGTAATAACGATCCCTTTTCGCATATCCATGCGGTAGTGCTTTGCCAATTAAAAACAAGAGAATACTTCTGCTGATAATTATTTAGTCTGCTGTTGTCTTTTTCATTTATATAAACGGCAATTCTCCCCTTTAAGTAATTAAAGTTCTATTAACACATGGCTTGCATGCAGAGATATACAACCATATTAGCATTGAATATATATAACAGAAACTCAAACCGGCATATAAAAAAATTAGTGGTTATAACAATACGCTATATACAACAATTTTTTAGTACAAAGTTTATCTCCTTCAACATTATTAACAGTAAATATCTATTTTAGCGGCACGATGGCCTCATATAATATGTCTTACACATCCTTATTAATATTACATTTGCGCTCACTAAGACGTCCTGGAACATAAACTCATCGTTAACAGAAGATGGGCTTCGTGTTTGCAATTTCCAATGCTTCAAACGAACACTTTTCTTGGAAACATTTCTTAGTATTATACGTTTTCCAAACAAATCAATTTCTTCTAAAGTAACTGTAGGAGAGCGCTGGACAATATTCGCCTACAAATTTTTAATAGTAAACAATTATGTATATAGTTAAAAATATATTTTTTTAAAAGCCCTATCGTAAAGATGATAAATTAATAATATAACTAAGTGTACTAACTACCAATACATCGGCTTAATTTACTTTAATTAAAATTATATTTCTACTCAAAAAAAAATTTTTTTTAATCATATCTAAGCCAAACTTTCTTCCGTATATATCTATCAACTAATACTATTAAATACGTCTTTAACTTCAAAGCAAAGCAAAGAAACCTTAAGAGGTGGCAATTGGCTGACCTCGCATAAATTCTGCTGCATATTACCAATTGGAAGAACTTCTAAAACTTTTCTCTTATAATTTGGTTCGTCTGTCCGCGCGTCCTTGTTTGTAAAATACATTAATAAAGTGTTGTATATATACTTAAGAAATTTTACTGGGAGGTTTTTATTATATGGTTTCATTAAAGATTTTCAATATTTAAAATATATTTTTCAGTCCTCAACATCTCTTATATCTTACCCCAACAAACTACTACTTCGTAAGAATATAGCTAGCATTACTTATACATTTAGTATATTAAAATTTTACGACTGCTCTTCTAAATGCATTAATAATTACACCTAGTCATCTACTCATGTATTTTTATAATTACCGTTAATGTGATACCCATTCTCCTTTCCTCTTGTTCAATCATTTTCATGGTGTAGTCGAGCTCTTCCGTTAGAATTTCATTATTGTGCTCAACATCAGCAAGCAATCGCTTATACGCCTCATTCTTTAAACATTTTCGTAATATAAAAAGATATAAATGCATATAAAAATTAGATATAGAAAAATATACATTACTGCACCTCTTTAACAAGAGCGTCGTAATCTTTCTGGAGTTCAGTATACCTTTTCATTTATAATACTTTAAAGTATAACAAAAGCGTGTACTTAAAGTTAACGCCGAAAAGACAGTAATGCGTTAATAATAAAAAATTGAAAAAGAAGTTACTTTAATTTTGTAAAAAGTATAATTAGCATGTTAGTATATAAAAATAAGATATTATCATATGAAAAGATAAAAACCAAGTCAATAATATAGCTTATGAGAGCACTTTTACTTAAAAAAGTAAAAAAAAGGTTCTTGAATAAAAGTTCTAACTGAGTATTTTTAAATATGCCATATAATGACGCTGAACAGTTATAGAATAAAAGAAACCATTTTTTCTCTTCAATCAGCGCTTTCTTCACAACCTCGAACTCTTTTTCTTTCTTCTCATTTTCAATAAGTTGCGACTGAATTTCCTTCCGCAAACATTCGTTGGTTTCGCTGACCTTAAAAATTATAAAAAAAAACAGTCATAAAATGAAAATGAGATATAAGAAACTAAAAAATTAATAAAAATATATGCTACGATAATAAATTAAGTAAAGTACTAAAGAACGAAATAATTAGCTTAATATGAATAAAAGTAAAAAGAAAATTAAAAAATTATAAGAAAAATATAATAAATATTAAGTTAACCAAATTCAACTTTTCAGTGCTTTCTTTAAAAAGGGACTCGTTAGTACTTAACTTTTTTCTAAGCAGGTCGAGTTCTTCCTCGTGTTTTTTTGCAAGATTCTCTCGAATATCTTTTAGATCTAATTCATATTCAAAAAAATAATAAAAAAATTACAAATATTAAAAAATTATTGCTTTGCTTATAGCGACATATTTTCATGCATTGCTTTTATCTACAACTAAATTCAATGTCTTCCATACAAAATATAAGTATTTCAAAATAGACATTTGTCACAGTTGCTACGATATAATTTTTGTCGATTGAACGCTTTTAAATTAAACACCCAATAACATTATAAAATTTTACATTTAAAGTAGCAACGGGTTTGAGTAATACATTACGTATACAGGCTATAATATTAACAAAATTGGTATAACCTTTTCTAAAAACCTCATTAAAAACTAATTTTATGTAAAAACAAACTTAGTAAGTTATTAAATAGCTGCATTATGAGTAAATCATTATCAAAATATTGAGTTAGCAAAAAGTAATCGCAACTATCAAGTTTAAATTTGTTAATAGTAGCTAAACAAATTATTAACGCTTTGCTTTCTTCTTTAAATATTCTTATGTTAATAAATCTTGGAAAAAAAATGCAAAGATCATTCATAATCCATAAGTCACATCCTTCATATATTACTAATAAAACCGTATAACAACTTAAATAAACAACACTAATTCAAAAAATATTTGCTTCTTATGTTCAATACATTAATACATGGATAAGTTTATTTTTATTATTGCAAAAATAAGGGCTTCATTTAAAACAAGCTATAGAAAGCAAAACAAAAATTACTTTTTTCAGTATAGTAACTATTAATACTATTTGAAAATTAATATAACTTACCTCTTATATAAGTTATAATTTACCCGCAAACACGCACTATCTCCACTGTAACAAATTCTTTTTTAAGTTCATACTATATGTTATTTACTGTGAATGTTTTACATATTATATAATAGCTAGAGTGTTGTAAGTACGCACTTAAATCATTTTAAGCAAAAAAACTTTTTAATTCGACTCCTTCTATAGTTGGCAAATTTAAATTAAACGGAGAATGCTGAACCAAAAAGTTGCTCTAAACTAAAAATGCAAGAGATTTTCATGTAACTAAAAAAGCAAAATAACCTTTTGTGCTAATTTCTTTAGCTTCAAGAAGCGCTTTCTCTAAACGAGCCTGTCAAATTTAAAATATTTAAAGATAAAGCAGGCGCTACTATAAAAATTTGAGTCAAGAGGTATACAATTGATTAACATGTAATACAAGTAATTTAAAATCAGTAATAAACAAATGTCTTTCAATAACCACACAAGCAATAATAAAAAACTTCATAAGTTTTAAGTACACTACAACACAAATTATATGTACTACAATATGAAGTTAAAAAATCTTAATAATTACACGTAAAGAAATAATAATCTAAACCAAATTTAAGCAAGTTTTATTGGTGCTAATAAAATATGTCAATAAAAAGACTTTAAACTTCCCACAGAAGATGGAATTCATATATGCAAAAGGCTTAAAAGCAGTTATGCTAACGAAAATTCATATATAAATTATTATCAAAATAGTTTATTACTTAAAGGTGTTATTATAATTTTAAACTTACACAAATATAAAAAATACATGAGTATAAACAAAAAAGTTGTAATGTAAAACCTCAATAAACAAAAATATCATTATAGTATTGAAATTAAAACCAAAAGAAAGTGATATAAATAAAGAAATAAAAGAATTTTTTATAAACCAAAAGGATAAACGAGTAAACTATATTAATAGAAAATAGAAAGATATTAACATTATATTCAATAGCCATTTCCCTTTTAACTTTCTCAACTTCGGCACATTGAAGAGAGCACATATTATTTCTTAATTCATCAAGTTCTCTTATAAATAAATAAACAATTATAAAATTAGTTTAACAAAAAAGAATTAACCAACCGAATATATATATAAAAGTTAATATTAAATTTATAAGAATAAATTCATGTATATAACCATTACTAATATAAATCTCAATTTTCAAAAGAAATAATTTTATAAAAAAATTACTAAAACGAATTAAACAAGTTCATAAGAAACTTTATGATGTACATTTACAAACAGCATAAAAAGAAAAGTAAAAAAATGTATGGTTTATAATAGAAAAAGTAAATAATTAACCTATAAATGTTAAGGTTGAAAATTTAGTAAAACATCGAGCGTAATAATATTAATAATAGCCAAAGAAGTAATCAAAGTAATGAAGTTAATAAAATGTTGAGATAAACAACATCGTCCAAAAGGTTAATTAACTTAAAAAAAAGATAAAAATCACTTATTCATAAACTTTTAATATAAAATAATTTGATTAGTAAGAATTTGATAAATAAAATCAAATAAAATATATACGCGACGGAAAAGAAAAGAAGTCTAGTTTATTTTTTAAAAAAAATTAATTAAAATAATTCAAAAGCTGGAAGAAATTTATTAAATATATTAATAAAAGTACAAGCAACTATAGAATATAAAGAAAGTATAAATTTCAACAGACTTCATAAACATGACAACGAGGTAGGATGTATAATTAACTGACATACAAGATTAAAAAATGAAAAAAAAATTAAAAAATAATAAACTTCTTAGTATAAAAATACTAATACAACTACAAATAACAAAAATAATATAGGAATTATAAATACCATTTAATTTTTAATTAGTAAAATCAAAAATTGAAGGCATATGATTTCTAAGTTCACGAATTGGGTCAACATTAAAAAAAATTGGAAAATATAAATTTTATTTTATTATTAAACTTAACCTTATATACTTGAAAGAATGACGTATTAAGAGAAATTATGTTAAACAAGGTATAAACATATTCAATAAAACAATTCAACTTTTATAATAGTGAATTAAATAGTATCACTTACAACTTATAGAAATGTAAAACTAACAATAAAGATTTACACAAAATAGTGTTTAAATAATATAAGCTTACAAAAAAAGACAAACAATGCTATAAATCAACTATAAGAAGTAACCTCTCCTTTTCCGAGTTAGCTTTTTCTAATCTACTTCGAAGCTCCATATTCTCTTTATTTTTCAATTTCTGATCTTCTTTCAAACAGACAACTTCTTTGCTGAACTCTTCAGTGACTTTCTGCAATCTTATGACTTCGTTTTTTAAAACACACCGTTCTTTGGTGCACGTTTGAAGTTCATTCTCAATATTTTTATACTTAGTCAAGCTTTCCTAAAAGATAAGGGTATTAATAAAGTGTAATCTAATTAAAAAGTAGAAGTAATACTTCCAAACTTTCTTTGAGTTTTGCCTCTTTTTGATTTTTAACTTCAATTTCTCGATGCAAACTTAGTACAGAAGACTCCATAGCTTTTTTATTATTCGTCAATTCCTCTTCTGCAACGAGTAATTTTTTTTTATATTTTTCTAAAAAAAATAAAAAAAGTTATATATTACAACTTAAAAAAGCAATTTGTTTAACCAAGCTCTTCGCAAATAGTTTTTCGTTTCGTTACAGAAAGGTATAACTTCTTTTGAAGCTCTTCAATTTCAGATTGTTTTTCCTTCGTAAAAGTTTCAATTTGCTCCCGATGAGAATTCTATGTTGCATTTTGTTCCAAAAGCGCTTAATAAAGTTTGAAAAGAAATACCTTAACGTGTTCCAACTCGTGAAGATGACAAGCTTTAACTGCATCGATATATCTCTTTAATCTACTACCTATACTCGCAAGTTCAATTGATTGATCACAACGATTAACGCTCCCTATATCCTGAATATCGTCTCTAGATAGCTTAGAAGTAGCAACCAGCATTTTTGGTAAAAAGAGGGGAACTCAAAAGAAAACGGTTTTTAATAAATCTGTTGTAAAACGGGGTATAGAAGACCTCGCAACTTTATATTATTGAGCTCGGTTTTTTACTTGAACAGTTCTTAAATTTACAGAACTGAGGTTTAACACGTGGGTTTGTTCTCGTCGGAATACGTCATATTTTTAGTTCTACAAGCATTAAAGTGCTCTAGTCATATGCAATAATATTAAAGTTCTGAGACACATAACGTTGTTGATCTCCTTCAAAAAGATCATAGCAGGATTTTACCCCTTTCGGTCTGCAGTGGTAATTAACTACTAAAAACCTCCACCAAAAGAGACAGGGTTAGCATATGCTATCATCTATTTCCATTTTAAATTCCGTGCTAATGCTCAAGAACTTTTTATTAGTTATCAGCGTGTCTTTCAATTTTTAAAAATAATTATGTGAGCTAAATGCTATATGAATGTAAAATTGCAAATCAAAAAAAAATACCTAGTTAGTAATATAAGTACGCGTTAAGGTTATTAATAGTTTGCGAGGAGATGCCTTTAGTTAATTTGCGTGGTTTTTTAACCACGCGCAGAGGGAAATTAAATAAACAACTGAAATAGTGGGGCTACAGCTGTGCATTATAAATCATTCAATGCTTAAATTGCTTAGTAAATCTGTGGGGGTTCTGGTTTTGTGTTATATATATTTTTACCTACTATAAAGGTTAAAGAAAAAAAATTTCGTAAATTTTTACGCCAAAACTAGAAATTATTGCTTATAATAATAAATAAAATGGATATATTAAATTTTATTTGAAGTTTAAAAGCTATTTTGAAAACCTGGTTACAGCTTTTATAATGTCTGAGTGTTCGCGAGTTTTCATTTGGTTTACCAAACCCGGTGTAGTGGAAGACCTGGAGCAGTAACTAAATTCGCTTGTTTATTGAGGTCAAGCACTTAGTCTAAATCTAGCTAATGACTATAAACTTTATTCTCTGCAGATACACTGGAGGCACTCTAGTTAAATTGGTGCATGTGCGGTTTGCAGTTATACCGCGTGGATGTTAAAGGCCTGTGACCTTTGCATTAAGAGTTTAAATTAGTAGAAAAGCAGCCCTATCCTTTTTATCTGTTTTCCGTTTCTTCTTTTTGGGTTCGTTACAGTATTAACCAGTCTTTAATCCATATTTACACCCTTTGCAGGAGAGTAAATTTAGTATTATTAATATAAAAAATGATTTTTTCCCACCAAATTATAAAATTTTTGTTAAATTATTTCTCCAAGTTATTTATTTTGTTATATACTTTTCCCCACTTTCTATTAAGTCGTTTTAAGAAACCATATAATTGGTTATTATTAACTAAAATTATGAGCATCCTTTATTATTATGAAATTCAAGAGTCTCTGTATTTTAGTGCTTGTGTGTGTGTATATGTTTTTTTATTATTATTTTTTGGGTTAAATTACCCGTTTTTAACTGTTGCTATAAGTTAAAATGTCGACTCCCTGAGGAGCTGGACCATATAAAATTTTTAGATTATTAACATCTAAGTAATATATACTTTTGGAATTAATTAAAAATATAACTGTAATATTGAGAATGATTTCGTTGCAATAACAGTAAAAGGAAAAAGTTTAACAAATCATCTGTACTAAATAATGTATGTTGAATTTTTCAGCTTGCAGACCTGTTACCCTGCACTCTTTAAGATCCATTATTGTGAAGTTAAATAAAGGTAGTATAGATCGCATGAGAAAACAATTAAATATTGAAAGATATCGAAGATATAAAGTAAACAATTACAAGGTTTACAGGTACACGGACTATAGCCTAGGGGAAGTGCACGTGGGTTTAAAGTAAGACAGTTAATACTATGAAAAGAACCTAAAACTTTGCAAATACTCGGTATTCTCTGGTTAGTATTATTGATTACATATACAATTAAATTATAAATTATATTTAGCCCGCTTGCTTCCGTCTTTCTTTAACTTTAATTAATATAATAAAAGCGGTCGCCGCGCGCCTTTCCAGGTCATAAGGAAGTTCCTGTATCTAATGCCAGTTCGGGGTTTCTGACAATTTCGTAAACAGTAGTGGTTGTCGAAATTAACTGCAACTCCAGAGAGTCGCCCACAGTTGAGTGCGATTAACCCGTTATAAGGGTACATAAGTTCGACACCAAGTGCGGTTTTAAATAAGTCTGAGCTACGCAATTTCAATGTGTTCATGAAGAGTATCGTAGCATATAAAATGATGACGTCGGTTAACAGCCCCAGCAATTTGTTATGCCGAGTTGTAATGCCGCCACAGCCAACGGGCCTCAAATGCACATGCAGGGAATGAAATGATGAATTAAACATACATACTAATACATAGTAACTAACTTGAATTACTTTATAATAGAACTATGGAACACTAAGAAGGTCTATAACAAAGGCAGCTTTAAGTCCTACAATTAGAAAAGAATTACGAATGACTTAATAATGGAGTAATAGTGTTATATTCCTCCCTCATTAAGTTAACCTGTTCCAACAAAAGCTTTTAGCTGCGGAGGATTGTTAGAATTGGTAGTATTAACAGCGGTTGTCACTAAGATTTTACCCCAGGGTTCAAGAGTTCTATCTGACCAATTCTAAGAAGAGTAGGTCTTAGTAGGCAATGTCCAGTGACCGAGTAAACTCAAAAATGAGAATAGAAACTGCAAAAGTTGTTAATTTAGGACAACAGAAACAGTGGAACTAGTATAGGTATGCTCCGAAACTTAAACAGGCCTGTTCAAACAGAGAAGATGTCACCTACCGAAGGGCTTTAGGTGCCATGGTGGTTTTGTTGAAACGTGCGTCTATTAATTTAGCATGTCTATGGATATAAATGGAGATAGCACGCCCCGTAGTAGAGTATTTATTTTTTCTTGCTGCATCCTGCGTGGAGCGTGTTGTAGTATAAACGGAGAGCCTAATTACTTAGTATTAAATATATTGACCAAATCATATTTATACATTTATTTCTACTTTGGGTATACATGTATTTTCCGCTATTACAGCCATTACCTGTGATAATGCCATTCTAGGAATAACAGTTTTACCAATTTATTAGCAGATATTTCTACCGCAGTCATCGCACGTAAAACTAGCCTCAGTATATACAAAACTTCAACTCAAAGCTTAATCTCAGGTAGATCCCATTACCATGATTTAGGGTTTTTATATTACAGGGACAAGGTGAGCAGCAATAACTTAAAACTGAAAATAAGTAGAGGGTGACAAGACCCAAAACAAGTGGGCCTAGAATTAGATGGTATTTTAACCTAGGTTGGCACCCACAGTAATTCACTATGCCTCGTCGCCACTCTGGGTATTTCGTTGTGGAATACTAGCCATGAAGGTGCGCATGTAAAAAGCCGATATTATTCGGTCACTCTACGAAGTAGCCTAGGAACGTTGCAAGGAATCCTCACTACTAAAAATGTACAAACTAGTTTAAGAGCTTCTATTATAGCTAACAGGTCGAGCTCCATTCAAAGCTCCTACTACGCCGCTGATATGAATCTTTTAAAGGATCGCCGAATGGTACCTCGAGGTGGTTAGAAAAAAATGGTTTCTTAACCCCAAAAGAATGACTAAAAAAAAAGAGCCTTATGCTGCTGTCATAAAAGATTGTTGGCGAGCATAATGTTCCAACAGTGGCTAAGAGGAATGCTAGTACCTAGAAGAAAGCCTAGAGTAGGTACTCTACAGAAGACAAATTTGAATGCTAAACGTGATTAAAAAGTTGAGGGCAGCGGAGACTAGTAAATATTAGATAACAACTGTTTTAAGGGTTCCTCGATATACCAATCTTTAATGCTTAACATGCTAATACTTGCTTCGATGCACCTTTAGACTAAATTACCATAAGTGCTAATAATTTAGTGTATGACTATTGTACAAGGGCACAATATATATATATATAAGAATTATGGTATTTTTCTCCTACTGGTCTTTCTTTGTCTTAAAACTGGTCGTCTGCAGGGTTTAATAATCGAATAAAACTCAAATTAAAACCGATACCAACACATATTAAAATAAAACTCTAAAGGATTGCTAACAAACACTTAAAGAGTTTTATTAAAATAATTCCACTATTGTATTAATCTCATAAGGGCTCAAACATGTAAAATAACATTGTTGTATTAGACATATAAGTTGCAAATACTTTAAAGGACACTAACCAATCGTCAGTTAGCTCAACAGCACAATACACACTTATACGCTAAAGCCTAGCACATTACTAAGATTACTAAGTTAAAGTTAGTCAAAAGGCTCCAAGGGATGAAGCCAATAATGCCATTACTATTACGTCAATCTCAAACTATGAGTCATGAGAAGTGCCCCCATAGTTTTGGAACGCACCTAGTTAATACTAATCAATGCTTTTTAGAACTCGGTACCTTAATAAATTATTTTCTCCCTCCTTAAATTGGGCGTCCACTTTATGTGTAGTGGGAAACCTAACAAAGCTAAAGTTAGCTGGTTAGCCCAATGTTGAATTAATTTCCAAAGCTATTAAATTTTTATGGTGTAAGATTTGTTAGATACATAACAAAGCAATACAAGCCATTAAATGAGTGCGTACAACCTTATCTAGTTGATCTGAGAGTGAAAGGTTTTACTCTGGTAGAATTAAAATAAGTAACACTCGAAAAATGTTAATTTAGTTATCCTACTGGTCATGAAGCTTTAGATCTACCATTTTTAAAGCTCCAAAGTTTTAAAGTGAAGTTGTTTACACTGAAATAATAAACGGTTTTAGCATCTAAAAAGCTTTAGATCAGATAAAGCAAGAGTTATTAGTGCAGAGGGGAATTAGTAGATTTAAAATTAGAACAAAAATTAAGAAATTTTTTTTTTGTAATTTACTAAGATATCTTGTGACCTTTACTTGAACTTTTTAAGGCAAGAAATTATTTATAAGTTTGGGTTTTTTCACTGTTTAGTCCAACCTAAATTAGTTTCATACACTTATCAGTTTCTTAATGAAACACTTCTATATAAGTTAACTTTTATTTACTAGACGCTTATAAGCAGGACAGAAATTTGCGTGGCACGCATAAAAAATAGTAGTTTAAAACGGTTTTTAAATACATTAAAAACCTCACATTTTAAGGCTTATATTAGTCAAACATTAATACAACGAAATTTATTAAAGAAATAAAGATTTTCGGGTGGAGACAATAGTAAAAGCAACAATTACCCACTTTGTTTATTTAATGTTTTCATCTTTAAGTTTACCAAAGCAACTCTCTGAAGTCTTGAATATACTATTTAACTTATGGATCTTTTTGAGTGTGGTACCGAATTTGTTTAGATAAGCTTTACTATATATTTTTGTAAAAAAGTAGTTAAGCTCTAAGGTGTAGAGTGAGAAATTAATACTTGCTACTATTAGTACTCTCGTTAGTTACTTTACTTATTAAACATGAATATATGTATTAAATATAAATGAGGATAATCTCAAGGTCAAGTTAGCAAAACCTTTTTACGGGAACTATTTTGCAAACCAGTCAACTTTATCTCTTTGGAGAGAAATCTCACTAATGTTAGCTTTATTGGCATTATACTGGAAGAGAAAGTCAAACGGAAGATTCGAGTTTTTGTCCGTTTATTTAGGTTCTATTAAACTTTATTAAGTTTAAAAGAACTAGTTAATCTACTTGGCAGGTGCTTGGTTGATTTTTATTGGAACTTTTCGGACATTTTTCTTCGTGGCTTTCACTAAGTTCAGTGAACTTTTTAACTTTTACAGAAACCCATCAACAGGCGTCTTCTTTTTAGGGCTGGTTACAATTTGTCCTCTTCTTTCCACTTCTATGGTAAGCTTGTCTATTTAGATTAATATTAATGACTATAATTTTTATTACTTAAAAATGCAGTTTTTGATTTTAAGAAGAGCCCATATAATGATGACTAAGAAAGCAAAAACCCAAAAGAATTTTCAGCACTTTCTTATTACTACAAGTTTTTTTTTTTGTTGCGCCTTCTTTCTTTTGGTAAAGAGGACACTATTGTTTTCATTTACCTCGCAATTCTCTGTCTGGACATGTTTTAACTGCCTCGGCTATTTATCTCTCACTGGAGTCCTCTTCGAATTAAAACATAAAAGTAAAAATGAATAAAAAAATCATATATCCTGACGATGACTATTTATTAGAATTAACTTTCACAACTATACTTTTTTTACTCGCCAGCATTCATATTTACTTCAAAAAATTTCAGGTTTCTTGCTAACTTGATATAGATTTCAATCTTTTTTTATAATATACGACCTTTTAAGTTTTTATATTTGTGAGGGCTTTCAAGACGATTACCGAGTGTTGGCTGACATTCAAGGGGAGGACACTTCCTTGAAAGTCGTTCAATTTCTGCACGACAATTTCACTGTTCGTCTATTAAAAGTCGACCACTCTCACATTGGTGGAGAGTATGTTAATTTACAGGTTTCCTCAACTAATTTAGTTTTCGTTAATGGGTTAAATAAAGAAAAAGTTTTATAAGAATTTATCATTTACATATTATAATGTTATTTTATAATAAAAAAACTTCTTATTTGAATTTTATTATTGATTATTTTTATTTTTTAATATAAATTTGTTGTTATTCTTATTTTAGTAAGAAAAAATTTTATTTTTATAAAAAAATAAAGTTAGTAATAGCTTTAAGCGCCCTTAAACTTTATTAATAGTACCACTAGGCAGAAGTTACCAAGTTTTTATGTTTTTGTCTAACTTAGTGTTAACTATAAGATTTACTTTAGTCTAGCTGAGGTGTTCACCATAAATAACTTGTTTTACTTAATTTTTGTGAACTTTATAAATTTTTATACATGATTTTTTTTCTAATTTTTTTTATAAGTTGTCAGCCTTTTCAATCTTCCATCTTCAAGAATCTCTCTATTTAGCTCATCGATCTCCGCAGCGTTTTCTTTCTATGTAAAAATTTTTTAATTTAAAATTTAACATCGCGCTTAAATATTATTAGCGGATTGGGTGTCGGTGTTGTGGCGGGATTTATGCAAAGACAAGGCCTTCAGGTAGACGTCGTCGAGTTGGATCCTCGCATCGTTGATCTTGCAACCACTTACTTTTCTTTTTTCAAAAAAGATGCCGCGTGCGAATTTAATATTACTTTTAATCTAGTTGAAAATATTAATACCAACAAAAAGTTCTGTTAGAATATATATTGAAGATGTGGCGAAGTGGATTAGAAGGCCGGAAGCAGAAACGAATCGTTATGACTTAATTCTTCATGATGTCTATTCTGGTGGCTTCGTGCCTCCGAATTTATTCACTAGAGAATTTTTATCGGCTATCAGGGTTTTTTTAGTTTTGTTTTTAAAAATATGAATTTATAAAAGTTTAAAAAAAATTTTTTATTAGGAAAAAGTTAAGTTAATCTTTATAATTAAAAAAATTAAATTATAGTAAAGATACTAAAAACCATAATAAATATTTATTTACATATCTATCTTTTTATATGTTATTTCGTGAAAGAAACTTTATACTCAAGAGTCTTCTAAGCGACGGAGGAATTTTTTGCGTGAACTACTTCGGATTTGTGAAAGGAGAAAAAGCCGTTGATATGCGCTTGCTTACCGCCACACTCCTCTCTCTATATAAATTTGTGGTAAAAATAATCCGTCTTTGCTGTTATAAGGATTTTTTTAAAAGGGGTAAACGTATTTATTAATCCCTGTAACTCATGATTTTAAAATTTATATATTTTTAATAATAACAAAACCACCTTTATAATAAAGCTCATACGCATTTGCGGAGGAGGGATAATTTAACTTTAGATCCGTTTATTTTATGTTTTTTTAAACAAGTCAACTTTGAAAAAAGACTTACTTCTAAAGAATTCAATTGTTTATTTAAAGAAAAATTTGTTATATTTTTTACAACTCGTTAATAGCATTGTAACAAAAACAAACTAATCAATAACAGACGATATATTGTTCAAAAAAAACTATACTAAACCGTTAACTTCTCATTTAAAGAAAAGCACACTACTATAGTAAAGATTAGCCTAAACAATAATCAATAATTAACGTTTTTATAAGAATTAAAATTCCTCACGAATATGGAATTCTGTCTATTTATCAGAGATGTTTTGGCGATGAGCATTTACAGGCGACTTCTCCTTCAAATTATATCTGCTTGGCTTCGAATAAATTCATAAAGTTTCGAAAGCCCGATCACAAGTTTTTCAAACATTCACTCTATCAGGTTTCTTTAACTTTCTTTAGTTTATAAAAATATTTATTTCGTTTAAAGCCTTCTTGTAAGTAAGAATTTCACTGAGATTCTAACATTTCGCCGCTTAAATATTTTATTGTGTCAAAGGGTCTCGCAACTTCCATTGAGCAGTACGAATTTCAAATCGCTACTAATTTTAGCGAAGGTCCTCACACAGGCTTTTTATTTTTGAAATTTTTTAATTTTATCTCTGATAAAAAGATCGTTTACTTAATCTAAACATCTAGAAAAAATATAATTTTTAACTCATTTATAAGAAACTTTATTATTATTTAGCCAAAGAAATAAAGGTGAAAATTTTAACTTTAACAAAGTTGCACTTTTAAGTTTATTTCATTTTCTTTTAATTTTTTTATAAATTAAAAACTCTATTTATTGATTTCAAGTAGATCAAATTATCACTGAAGAAAATTGTCAGCGGTTTTGGATAAGCCAAAAAAACAGCGCACTAAAATACTTCTTGTTAATGAACAAATTATTTTCCGTAAGTGAATTGTCTTAAAAAACTTGAATCCTTTTTTGGGAAAGTAAAAAGATTAAAAGTATGTAGAAGACTTACAGGCAATTTAAATTATAAATAGTTTATTATAAAAGAAAAAGGTTTTTAAGTTGAGATGCTCTACTCCGTATCTTTTTATGTATCATATTATTCTTGTTAACTTTTATTAAATAGATCCAAACTTATTGGGGCCCTCTAGCCTGAGCTTGTAATATATTGAATTTCCGTATAATAAAATCTCTTTAGTATGCATTACTTTTTTCTAAAAAAGCTCCAACTGATAAGTGACGTATTAAATTACGTATTAAATATAGATTCCATTCTTTGGTCTTTAGCTGACCGACCTTCTACTTAAAATTTTAACTGGTCCTTGGACAAAACTTTTTACTGTGTTGTTAAAAGAAAAATGTCTGTCATAGC